CCTTAAGATTGAGCTACCAAGTCTATATTGCCTCCTATCATTTTTCCTACCTATGTATATCACCTTGCACTTATGTACATTGAAATCCATCTGCCACATGTCAGCCCATTCCACAATTCTGTGTATGTCTGCCTGCAGTCCGTCACAATCTTCTTCACTATTTACTATCCTACCTAACTTGGTATCATCTGCAAACTTGGAAATAGTGCTCCCTATGCCCAAGTCCAGATCATTAATATATATTAGAAAGAGCAGTGTTCCCAATACCGATCTCTGGGGGACACCGCTGCACACCTCCTTCCATTGCGAGAAACACCCATTAACCACCACCCTCTGTCACTCAGCCAGTTCCTAATCCAAACGGCTACTGTCCCCTTAATATCGTGGGCCTCCAGTTTTTTTATTAACCTCTTATGCGGTACTGTGTCAAAAGCCTTTTTAAAATCCATGTAAATAATGTCCACCGCATTTCCCTCATCAACCCTCGCAGTCACCTCTTCAAAAAATTCTATTAGATTTGTTAGGCAAGATTTGCCTTTAACAAATCCATGTTGGCTGTCTCTAATTACCTCATGTTCCTCTAAGTAGAGATTTATTTTGTCCCGGATTATGGTCTCCAGTAGTTTTCCTATTACCGAAGTTAGGCTGACTGACCTGTAATTTCCGGGTTTGTCTTTCTTCCCCTTTTTGTGGAAGGGGGTAACATTAGCCACTCTCCAGTCTCTTGGCACCACTCCTGTGTCCAATGACGATTGAAATATAATGGCGAAAGCCTCCGCTATTTGAACCCGTATCTCCCACAGCAACCTTGGGTGAAACCCATCTGGTCCTGGTGACTTATCAATTTTGAGCCCAGTCAATCTTTTCAGAACTTCCTCTCTGTCTATAGTAATCTGATCTATGTCCTCTACCCTCTCATCCAATACTGCGGCATTTGGGGCATCCATTTCCGTTGTGAAGACAGATGCAAAGTACTCGTTCAGTACATCAGCCACGCCCTCTGCCTCCACAACAAGATTGCCGTCATTGTCTTTGATTGGCCCCACCCTACCTTTAACTAACCTTTTTTCCTTTATGTGCTTATAAAATATTTTAGGATTCCCCTTTATGTTACCCGCTAACCTCTTCTCATGCGATCTTTTAGCCTGTCTTATCGCTCTTTTAAGATCACTCCTGCATTCTCTATAATGCGCTTTGCTATCCTCAGTGTCTTGCATCCGCCAATTGTCGTACGCCATCTTCTTTTTCATCCTAGACAGAATATCCCTGGTCATCCAGGCTGGCTTGGTTCTCGCACATTTCCCTTTTGTGGGAATATATCTATTTAGACCCTGAGCTATCGTATCTTTGAAGATTTTCCATTGCTCATGAGTCGTTTTACCTGCCATTCTTACTTGCCAGTCCACCAACTCTAGGTCCCTCTTTAGCCCATCAAAATTAGCTCTTTTCCAGTCAAGCATTTTCACCCTTGACTGTACTTTGTCCTTGTTCATGAGTAATCTAAATCTAATAATATTATGGTCACTGTTACCTAGATGCTCCCCTACCGAAACTTGTTCAACCTGACCTACTTCATTCCCTAGGACAAGATCCAGCAATGCTTCCTTCCTTGTAGGACTGGAGACATACTGCTCAAGAAAATTTTCCTGTACACAGTTGATGAATCTTTCTCCTGCCTTGCCCTTAACGCTGCTATTTTGCCAATCTATATTGGGATAATTGAAATCCCCCATTATGACAACTCTGTTCGCCCTACATCTGTCCGTGATCTGGTTGCAGATCTGCTCTTCTATCTCCTTCCCGCTATCTGGTGGTCTATAGTAAACCCCTATCAGTGTAACCACTCCTTTCCTATTTCTGACCTCTAACCAGATCGATTCTGTTGTCGGGCCCTCTAGAGTCTCGTCCCTTTCTACAGCTACAATTGTATCCTTAACTAATATTGCCACCCCTCCACCCTTTCTTCCTTCTCTATCCTTCCTGAACACATTATACCCTGGAATATTTATCTCCCATTCCTGTCCTGGCTTGAGCCATGTCTCAGTTACTGCTACCACATCGTAACCCCTATGGCCAGTTGAACCTGCAGCTCATCAACCTTATTCCCTAAGCTACGTGCATTTAGGTACATGCATTTGAGGAAATTGTCCACATGTACCTGCTCTATATTTCCCACTTGTCTTTTTCCTCTATTCCCTAATCTATTGTTTATCCTGGGATACCCATCCCCCCTCGCCACTAGTTTAAATTAGCCCCCCAGCATTCGATAATCTCTTGGCCAGGAAGCTAACCCCTGCCTTGCTTAAGTGCCGCCCATCCGCAAGGTAATGATCCCACCTCCCCCAGTAGTGGTCCCAATTGTCCACAAAACGGAAACCTTCTTTTCTGGACCATTTTTCCAGCCAGTCGTTCATACGCCTGATCCTTTCATTATGGTGCCCCATTGCCTGAGGCACCGGGAGTAACCCAGAGATCACCACCTTGGATGTTCTGGCCTTGAGTTTGTTCCCCAACTTTTGATACTCGCCCTGGAGTATCTCAGCCCTCTTCTTCCCAATATCGTGGGTCCCCACATGGACCACGACTTCTGGACATTCTCCTTCCCCCTGAAGAATCTTGTCCACACGCTGGGTAAAGTCCACTACCCTCGCACCAGGAAGGCAGCAAACCATCCTAGCCTCACAATTCTTATGACAGAAGATCCTGTCAGTGTCTTGCACTGTTGAATCCCCTATCAGTACAATGTTGCCCGTGTGATCCATGCCCCTGTTCTGTTGGACAGAATGTTCACTGCTGTCCTCATGGAAGGTTTCCACGCTCTCAATTGCTAACGCTGAGTACTGATTTTAGACCGGTACTCTGTTGGGGGTGCTCTGCCTTGCACAAGCCCTCTTCTTTCCCCGTCACCCAATCACTTTTAGCATGTGGCTGTGTGTTGGGCTCCTCTGGGAATGGTCCTGTTCCTGAACTCTGACCTCCCGATGGCTCCAGTACCCCTCTCTCATGGTTCCTATACAGTGATGGGCTGCTATCGCTGAGTCCTAGGGGAGTGAGGGTCTCCTCCACCATACTGTCCAGGAACCTCTCACTGTCCCTGATGGAGCGCAGTGTTTGCACCTGGGCTTCCAGCTCAGCTACTCTCAGCTGAAGCTCCTTGATTTCCAGACACTTGTGGCAGATGAAGTCGCCCGGGCTTAAGGCGCCCTCCATTGACTCCCACATGTGACAGACCTCGCAGTTTACCTGCCACACCATCTTCACAATCTTTATATAGATACAAAGATATATAGCCTGCCCCCACTTCCCCCTCTGCACCTAATTCCCACTCTCACCAAATTCCCTCACACTCTGGCCTCGCCTCACTCCGGACATAGCTCACTCTGGGTTCTCGCAGCTATCTCCTATTTATACTTTCTGGGTGCAACCCGTTTCTGATTTGCTCAGCAGTAATTTGGAATTAACACCTAATCAAGTGATTAATCAATAAGTTAAGTTAATCAATAAGTTACTTGTTAATGGCTAGGCCTAATTGACTACAACTGCTCCCTGTAAAGTTACCCCACAAGACCAATGTACCAATGGTATCAGCAATTTTAACTAACACAAGACTTAAAACAACTACAACAACTACTACAAGACTTGAATAACAACAACAACAACAAATTGGGTTATGTACTAACGATAGCAGTTCTCACGACACTCACAGCAGCAATTCCCACTCTCACCAAATTCTCTCATACTCTGGCCTCGCCTCACTCCGGACGTAGCTCACTCTGGGCTCTCGGCTCGACTTGATGTCCAACAGGCAGTTGTCAGGACAGCAGTGGTGCTTGAGTTGAGGGTGGAGGCAGAAAGATAGAGTTGGGTGTCATCCGCATACATATGGAAGTTGACCCCATGTCTGCGGATGATGTCACCAAGGGGGAGCATGTAGACATTAAAGAGAAGAGGGCCAAGGACAGAGCCCTGGGGGACACCAGACGTGACAGTGCGGGGCCTGGAGGAGAAACTGTTAGAGGCAACAAAGTGGAGACGGTGAGAGAGAGAGGAATCGAACCAGGCAAGAGCAGGTCCGCGAAGATTAAGTAAAGCGGAGAGGTGGTGTATGAGGATGGAGTGGTCGACAGTGTCGAAGGCGGCAGAGAGGTTGAGTAGGAGAAGGTGGTAGAGGGAGCCCTGATCACGGATGTTCAGAATGTCATTAGTGACTTTGACAGGGCTGTTCCCGTGCTGTGCGCAGCGTGGAAGCCGGATTGGAGGGGTTCAAAGAGGGAATAACAAGAAAGAAAGTAGTGGAGCTGGGACGCGACGACTCGTTCCAGGACCTTGGAGAGGAATGGGAGGTTAGAGACGGAACTGTAGCTGGAGAGGAGGGATGGGTCCAGGGAAGGTTTTTTCAGGATGGGAGTGATGATGGTTGTTTTAAGGGGGGTGGGAACTGAACCGGTGGACAAGGAGAGGTTGATGACATTGGACAGGAGGGGGGCCAGAAGGTGGAGATGGGAGATGAGGAGAGAGATGGGGATGGGATCGAGGGAGCAGGTGGTAGGTTTGAGTTTGCGAACAGTCGTGGTGAGGGAGGAGGGAGAGATAGGCTCGAAAGAGTATGAGGGGGATGGGGGGGGGTGGGTCATGAGGGAGAGGTGATGTGGGGGTGTCGGTGGCTGGGGCTGAGGTGGCTGAACGTAACCCCTCGATTTTGGATTCAAGGAAATCCAGCATCCTCCTCACAGTTGGAGTTTGAGGAGAGGATGGGCGAGGCATGGGAAGGTGGACGGAGGAGACGGTTTGTGGTGGAAAAGAGAAGCCGGGGGTTGTATTTTGCCTGGGATAACCTTGGAGTAGAAGAGGATTTGGCAGAGGCAAGAGCGCAGCAGTAGTCTTGGTATAGTGAAGCCAAATCTGCCGATGGACTATCAGTTTGGATTTGATCTAGGCGCGTTCAGCAGCTCGCATTTGTATCTTGAGGGAACGGAGATGGCTGGTGAACCAGGGAGAGTATGAGGCAGTTCGTGAGGTGAGGAGGGCAAGAGAGTCCAGAATAGAGTCCAGAATAGAGGAGAGTGAGTTATGGAGAAAAGAGAGTGAGGAGGGGAGATCGGTCAGGGAAGGATAGAGGTGTAGGAGTTCAGATGACTTCAGAGCAGTGGAGAGCGAGAGGGAGGAATTTTTTTTTCCACGGACGGTATGTGATGATTGAGGAAGGGGTATGGAGGTGTTGAGGGAGATGAAGTGATGGTCCGAGATGGCTTTATCGATGATGGTGATGTCCGAGACGGTGAGGCTCCGGGTGATCACCAGATCAAGGGGGTGGCGACGGTCGTGGGTGGGGGAGTGGATGAGGAGGAAGAGGTTAAGGGAAGAGAGGAGGGAGGAGAAGTCGGCAGAGGTAGAGCAGGAGGGGCTGAAGTGGAGGTTGAAGTCACCTAAGGTTAGGAGGTGTTCAGAGCAGAGGGAGAGGGAAGATAGGAGGGTGGAGAGGAAAGTGGGGGAAGGCTTGGGGGATGGTAAACAAGGAGGATTTTGAGGGAAAGCCTGCAGGGGTGGTAGAGGGTAAGGTGTTCAAAGAAGGGGAAGATTCCAGAGGAGTAAGGGGAAAGGCCAAGGGGGAACTGGGAGATGAGAACCACACCACGGTGATTAGGCCATGGGGTTTGATGAAATGTGTAACCTGGAAGTGTGGCCTCAACAACAACAAGATTACATTTGTATAGCACTTTTCACATCGGGAGGACGTCCCAAGGCGCTGGACAGAGTACAGCATTTTAGACACGAGCTGGGGTTGGGGGGGAAGGGGAGGGAAAAGCGGGTGGCCGATGGCATGGTCGAAGATTAGTCGAAGAACTAGTGGGAAGGTGTCGCCTGGTGTAATCCAGGTTTTGGTGAGGGAGAGGATATTTTCCTCAACGGTGAGGTCGTGGATTGTGAGGGACTTGTTGGTTAGTGAGCGGACGTTCTGCAGACCAATGCGGAGGGGACAGTCATTGGTGGAAGTGTGGGGGAGATGAGTGGGGGAGTGGATGGGCAGACGGATTGAATGGGGATGTGAGCGAGGGAGCAAAGGTGGGCTCCCGTGGGTGAGGACCGGTGGGCCTTGCGGCGAGAGTGGGGGAAGTGGCAGTCAGGGAGTAGTGGAGGGAAGGGGACAGGGTCGGGAACATCTTGGGAAACAGCTCGGGTCAATTGCGGCAGCCAATGTGCGCACACTGAGACTCGGAGCAGACAGGAAGACTCCATGGCACTATTTAACGCTATGGTGAACAATTTTCCAGATACATTTGTCATTTCACTTCATGTATGTTTATGAGAAATTGCTCTGTGACAGCCATGTGGTCAGGTTTAAGGATTATATTACAAATCCCCATGCCTGCAGGCTTGAATTTCATATTTTCTGGCTATAGAATAATGCATCTGCAGTTTTCTTTGATTAATTTTAAAATCTATTGTGATGGATTTTTAGTGATTTTAAATCTCACAGGGTATTCTAACCAGCCCTTTTCCTCTTCTCAGGTTGGTCAGAGGTGGAGAGGCTTCATCAAAGAATAACCTGGTCGGTAAGAAGACTCCAGACTCTGCCAACAACAGTCAGACAACAAACAAGTAAGACAGATTATTGCAATGGTGCAGAGTGGAGATGTCCGAGCCTTGCAGGTGCCTCAATGCAGGCACGTTCTGCATTCCTTCCCCTGTGCCCAAGCCTTCAGTCATTATGCCCCCAATGTCTAGAACTCCTACCTCAATCCCTCGGCCTCACCACTTTATTTATCTGTCTTCAATTCCCACCTAAAAATCTACATTTTCAACCCCTTCTATGGTTACCTACTCCTTTGTTTGGGAGTCTAAATCGTACCACTGTGAAGAGCTTGGAGACGTAACACTACATGAAGGGCGCTATATAAGTGCAAGCTGTTGATGGAGTAATATGGTTTTTTTGGGGTGGGAGGCAGGAGAGAGCCATCAAGGTTTCCGGTACCTTAGGAAAACCTCATTTGGATTCCCTAGGGATCTTATCTGGAAACCCAGCATGACTTTGTGTTAGGAACACTTAGTGGAAAAGATCCTATTAGTTGGAAGCTTACTCAGGAAGAGTAGCTACGATACCAATCAGTGCTCAGAGAGGCTATCCTGTGTGAAGGGCATTATTGAAAACAATGTACAGCACAAAAACCGGCCCATTGGCCCAACCAGTCCATGCCCCTGTTTATACTCCACATGAGTCTCTATCCAAATTCAAGCAGCTGTTAGCCAACAGGTGTTCCTGAGGGGAGGGGGAATCACTTCTCTTCTTGGATGAAACAGGTTTGAGTGTCTCTTTTTCTCTAGATTGTGCTCGACCGGCATCAGCACAGCCTTGGAGTTGTGTAGAAAATGTGAAAAGGGTAAAACATTCCCAGAACATTCCACGGTAAGTGGTTAAATCTCCACAAAGTTGTCAATAAACTTGTGGCATGTCACCTGGAAATCAATGGGAGAGGCACGTTTCTGAGGGTCAAGGCTGGGTCTAGGTATTACCCATGGGCTTCCCATCTTCCTGGGGAAGAGGAGGTAACAGGGTCTGTGTGTGTCTGTCTCTCTCTCTGTCTACAGTTTCTCTTCCTCAGTCTCTCTCTCAGCCTCTCACCCATAACCATGACACTACCAGTTGCAAGACCTTTCCAATGAGGTATAAACCACGTCTCTCCGTCAATTGGTTATTGTGTGATTGTCGGATACATTGACACACAGACAGACACTCAATTTTTATTAATATATAAAGAGAATCAATTCTGTGTGGCCGTCTCAATATTTTGTTTTTTGAGCCAGACAGGCCTCCACTGCAGATGATGTCCTGCCCAACCTGTGGCAAGACTATGTGCTATCCTTGGGGGTGGGGTTGAGGTAAGTGGGGTCTTCTTGGAGCTGGCAATGGAATTTCGGAATTGAGCCAGCCCTCAGTGGAGGTCTCGGTAGTATCCCATAAGCTTTTTTTAACAGCTTTATCTACCTATCCTGCCACCTTCAAAGGTTTACTTAAATGAACCCACCCAGATCTCTCTATTCCTTTACCCCCTTTAAGACTGTACCCTCTAGCTTATATTGCCTCTCCTCATTCTTCTTTCCAAATGCATCACTTTCCATTTCTCCACATTAAACTTCATCTGCCACGTATCTGCCCATTTTACCAGTCCGGGTCATTTATATAGATCAAAAATAGCAATGGTCCCAATACTGACCCCTGAGAAACAACACTGCACACTTCGCCCCAGTCAAAACAACACTTCGCCACCATTCTCTGCTTTCTGTCTCCCAGCCAGTTCTGAATACATGCTGTCACTGACCCTTTAATACTGTGGGCTTCTACTTTGCTTACAAGCCGCTTATATAGCACTTTATCAAATGCCTTTTGAAAATCCATATAAACATATGACTGGCCTGTAGTTTCCTGGTTTATCCTTCTGCCCCTTTTTGTACAGGGGAGTAACATTTGCAACCCTATAGTTCTCTGGCACCACCCCAGTGTCCAAGGAGATTGAAAAATTGTGGCCAGAGCCTCTGCTATTTTCACCCTTACATCCCTCAGTAACCTAGGATGCATCCTGTCCGGACCAGATGACTTATCTACCTTGAGCACCGATAAACTTTTTAGTACCTCCTCTGTTTATTCTTATTCAATTTCTCTACCCTCTCCTCCGATCCTGTGGCATTGGCTGTATCCTGTAGCTCAGTGGTTAAAGCACTCGCTTTGCAAGCGAGAGGCCTGAGTTCAATTCCAGGCAGGGCAAAACCTTGGGCAAGTTTCCTTACTCCACACGCCTAATAATAATCCCTCCAAAACCAAAACAATAATAAATTGGTCATTTTCAATCTACGACTGTTTGTGGGACACTGCTGTGCGCAATTGGCTGCCGCGTTCGCCCACAAATATACAGTCAATTCACTTTACAGTATATTCTGTGAAGCGCTTTGGGACGTCTAGAAGACGTGAAAAGCACTATATCAAATGCAAGGATTATTATTATTGTTGTGAAGACCGATGCAAAGTACTCATTCAGTACGTCGACCTCTGTCTCCACAAGAAGATTTACTCTTTGGTCCCTAATTGGAACCCACCCTACCTTCGACTAATCTTTTATTCCTTATAGTTGATAAAATACCTTAGGGTTCCCTTTTATGTTACCCGCTAAGCTTTTCTCATGCAATCTCTTTGCCCCTCTTATTTCCTTTTTCAGTTCTTCTCTGTACTTTCTATATTCTATTTGATTATCTTCTGTATTTTGGACCTGACATTTATCATAAGCCTCCTTTTTCTGTTTTATTTTTATCCCAATTTCCTCATTCATCCAGGGAGGTTTGGTTGCCTTACCTTTCCCCTTTGTGGGAATATATTTGTTCTGTCCCCGAACTATCTCCTCCTTGAAGGCTTTCCATTGATCGTTAGCTGATTTACCTACCAATCCTTTTTAGTCCACCTTGGCTAGGTCGCTTTTTAACTCCCTGAAATTAGTCCTCTTCCAGTTGAGTATCTTTAACTTTGCTTATTCCTTGTCCCGTTCCATAAGTACTCTAAAGCTAATGATGTTGTGATCACTGTTGTCCAGATGTTCTCCTACTGAAACCTGCTCCACTTGCCCCACTTCATTCCCCAGAACTAGATCCAGCACTGCTTCCTTCCTTGTGGGCTGGAACCATACTGATCCAGAAAGCTATCCTGCACACATTTCAGGAAGCCTTGTCCTTTAAACTGTTATTTTGCCAGTCTATGGTAGGATAATTGAAGTACCCCAGATCACTACTCTATTGGTTTGCATCTTTCTGAAATCTGCTTGCAGATTTGCTCGTCTATCTCTTTCCCACTATTTGGTGGTCTATAATATACACCTAACAGAGTAACAGCTCCTTTTCTGCTCCTTAACTAACCAAATAGATTCTGATTTTGGACCCTCCAGCACATCGTCCCTTTCCAGCGTTGTAACTGTCTTTAACCAAAATTGCTACCTCCTCTCCTTTTTTTCCTTCCCTGTCCCTCCTGAATGCATTGTAGCCAGGAATATTCAGCTCCCGTTCCTGCCCTTGTTTGAGCCAACACATCATAACCCCATCTGGCAACTTGAGCCTACAGCTCACCAACCTTATTTTCACACTCCGTGCATTTACATACATGCACTCCAAGACCGACTTAGTCTGCTCTGCATTTCTTCCCCATCTAATCCCTCCTTTTTCTGTATTACTCCTGATTATATTACTATTCGTCTCTCCCAGCCCTCTATGTAACTTGTAAGTCCTCTCTAATGCTACATTCTGATTCCCTTCCCCCCTCAAAATTAGTTTAAACCCTTCCCCACAGCACTAGTTAACCTCCTTGCCAGGACATTGGTTCCAGCTCTGTTCAGGTGTGACCCATCCACTTTGTACAGGTCCCACCTGCCCCAGAACTGGTCCCAATGATCCAGGAACCTGAAGCCCTCCTTTCTGCACCATATCTCCAGCCATGCATTCATGCATTTGATCCTGCTGTTTTGATACTAACTTGCAAGAGGCATAGATCACCACCTTTGAGGTCCTACTCTTTAGCTTTTTCCCTCGCTTCTGATACTCTCCCTGTAGGATCTCAGCTCTTTTTTTCCCCCATGTCATGGATCCCAACATGGACCATGACTGCTGGATGTTCCCCTTCTCTCTGTAGAATGTTTTGCACCTGTTCTGTGATGTCTTTAACTCTGGCACCAGGGAGACAACATACCATGCGAATCACGTCTTTGGTTGCAGAAACGCCTGTCTACTCCTTTCACCATTGTGTCCCCAATGACAATTGCATTGACGCTCTTCTGTGTCCCCCTGTGCAATCATTTGCTTTTGACTCCCCTCCCCAGTGGTGTCATCACCCTGACCAGTATTCAGTACAGCGAACTGGTTTATGAGTGTCACGCGCTCAGGTGGTTTCTGCACTGCCCGTCCCCTCTTCGGGACACCAACCTCTCCTCAAGCTTAGAAACTCTGAGCTCAAGCTTGGACAGCCGGAGGCACTTCCTACACACGTGTCTGTCCAGGACATACAAATCATCCTGGAGTTCCCACATGGCACACATTGTGCCTGCAACTGGTCTCAGCTGCCCTGCCATATTCCCAGACATATTTTGTATTATTTTAATATAACTTATATAGTTTATAATTATGCACCTCTTTCCCCGTCTACACCGAATTCCCACTCTCACAACGTTCCTTAACAGAATTCTCACTCTGTTCCACCTCACTCAGTTCCCTCCTCACACTGCTGGGGCTCTCTGGTCCTATCCATGACTGTTGGTGAGACACTGCTGTGTGCAATTGGCTGCTGCGTTTCGCCCACAAATATAGTCAATTCACTTTACAGTATGTTCTGTGAAGCGCTTTGAGACATCCAGAAGACGTGATAAGGCGCTATATCAAATGCAAGGATTATTATTATTAACCCTGCAAGCCAAATCCTTAAAGGATAGAGAGGTGCTGGATAAGCAGCCGGAAAGCTTGCCAGACAGCAATTTCAATGGCAAGCCAAGTGGTTTTAGCTGATTAGACTCCAGCAGTACTCTATCACACACACTGGGGTCCCCAAGCTTTAGCTCTTGCCAACCTGCTAATAGTTTCCCGGGATTCCAGGGAGAGTGCTCATTCCATAACAACAATCTATCTCTGGGATTTTCACGTGTTGATGGGATGCATTGGAAACAATAATAATAATGATCCTTGCATTTGATATAGTGCTTTTCACATTTTCTCGACGTCTCAAAGCGCTTCACAGAATATGCTGTAAAATGAATTGAACGTATATTTGTGGGCGAAACGCGGCAGCCAATTGGGCACAGCAATGTCCCACAAACAGTCGTGGATTGAAAATGACCAATTTATTATTGTTTTTTGTATTGGAGGGATTATTATTAGGCGTGTGGAGTAAGGAAAGTTGCCCAAGGTTTCGCCCTCTGCCTGGAATTGAACCCAGGTGTCTCGCTTGCAAGGCGAGTGCTTTAACCACTGAACTACAGGACTCCACAAGTTGTGGCTTAAAGTCAACAATAATATGCAAACACCAGTAAACTGAAAATTAATATTGTCTCAGTTTAATACAAAATAACTTGCAGACTAGACATTTGGAATTTAGATACAGGTATAATACAACAAATTAACAACAAACTATATTTGTATAGCACCTTTCACGTCGGGAGGACATCCCAAATATCAAAACATCACAAAACATAGCAGTAATTACTGTTAAGTGTAGTGACTACTTGTAGGCGAACATAGCAGCCAATTTCTGTATCTCCAATTCTCTTTTAAAGAAATGATGGGAAGGAATCAAACCAGTCCTTGTGAGGCTCCACTGGCTCCCAATTACTGAACGGATCAATTTCAAGATCTTCTCTCTCGTTTTCAAATCCCTTCATGCCCTCACACCTCCCTATCTCTCCAACCTGCTTACCCCTCACTTCACTACCTGAGCTTGGTTTGATACTCTTGAACATGGTGATGGGTTTCCTGTCACAGAGCTTGGTATTTGATACCCAATGCTTCAGTGATCAGAGTTCGGAGGACAAAACCTGTATCCTGTTCATATTAACAACTTTAAAATACACACTTCTTGAAATAACTTTAAAATATTTAATGGACACAAGCATATATTTTGACGGCACCCCAAAGCCTTAAGTTAAGTCGGAGTCATAATACATAAAATGCTGGCACTCACGGTTTGAGTAGGGGAGCGAGCTCACCCTCTTGTTTGTAACAAATGCCTTCCAAGGTACAACTCTGCTGTCTGCTCAAAACTTAGATTTGTTTTATCCTCTTGTGCGAGTACTCTCACACTCACACAATACACTTCATACAGACAATTCTTTTCCATGTAAATTAGGCCTCTTTCAGACAACAACATCCTTTAACAGTTCCTGCTACCTGTGGTGTGCAAATGACCACTTAGCTCCTGTTAACCCTTCAAGCCAAAGTTCTAACGGGTACAGTGATCCTAGCTGGACAAGCAGTGTGAGGTTGGTCAGTCAGTGTTCACAATCACAAGCTATATGGTTATAGCTAAACTCCATCGCACACTCTAGTTTGTGAGACACATCTATTGAACACTTATAGAGCATTTTGAATGTTTGGCCATTTTTAGTTATAAAATGTAATAATTTCCTTCATACACTGTGCATTATTCCTTATCACAAGGATGTTTGGCTTTGGTGGTGTTTAACTCCCAGCTAAAAGCTGAGAGTGAAAATGGGGAATCTCCCCTCTGTGAAGCTGAATAGCACCAATGCATGTCACAGTGCAACGTTTGGTCCATTATGATAGTGCACCAATGCAATGGCACACTGTAATGCATTGTGCAGTTCACCAGGGCACCAATGCATATTGCAGTGTGATGGGAGCACTAAAGTAATGGATCCCGGTAGAATGATTGCTTAAGAAAGCAGATGAATAACTATGTTCCATTTTACAGAAGACCGGGGAATCCGTAGTCATCTCCCCTGGGTATGTCTTGTCTCGGACTAAAAGCCGCGTTCATGCCACCCTCTGTGATGAATTCTTCGGGCACCCTCATGATACAGTGCAGGTTGTGGAAAGGTAACCATCTCATTTAGACTCTAAACCCTACCCACTACCTATATCTTAGCCAGAGAGACTCCAGGATTCAGTTTTATTCTGATGGTAGGCCACTGAAGATCACAGCCAATTTGGTTTCCTCTGTGTGCAGAATAATTCCTGTCAGTGGGCTCATCCCCGGCTAGTGTATACGACACAGTCACATCAGACCCAGGGAATTGGGATTAGATCTTGGATTATTGCAGAGTTGTGTGACGTTGTATTATTGACAATGAAACCCAATGGATCTGAGTGAGACAGGAGACCAGACATTTGTGTTTACTGTGTTTTACAAATTGCTGTGCAAAGACTTTTTGTGTTTTAATCTGAGAAGTATAACCTTTAGCTAGTAATAGGGGGGCACTGGTTAATGCTGCAGGTTGGTGATCTTCGGTAGCATGCGAGGTAAGAACAGAGCTTGGAATTTTGCTCCAGTCACTAACTTTTTTTTAATTTAATTTTTCAGGCACGTGCCAGAACATAAGGTGTGAGTATTTGCTCTTGAGGCGCATTGAAAACTAGCAATGGATTACTGAGCGCTGTGTGGAAAGAACTCTCCAAACACAGTTGGGAGTTCTTAGATGTGTTTTAGGGAGACTTATGACGGTTCTCACCCCTTAATGTATAACCATGTTATGTAAAGCGCATGGTGGACAAGATGGCTCCTGTGTATTCTTCTCTATGACATGCAAGTTCTATGTGAAACTTCACTAAGTGAGAATTAACACAACCGATAGACCCAATGCCTTATAGCACAACAATGGGATGCTTTTCTCAGTGTCCTTTGCACTACCAGACAGCTGACTTCCGCAGCAACCTGTTTGTATCTCTCCCAACTTAAATTTAACAGAGACTCGAGATGCACTCTTTTTAGAAAACACAATGGTATTTTATTGGTCCTTGCAACCCTATATCTCACTCACACTGCCAGATATATGATTATACCTTCTTGATGACACTAAAGGTGAAGAGCAACCCCGAGTCTAATGAGCCCCCTCCTCTTAACTCCTCCCCTTTACAATGCATCTCTCAATACTCTTTCCTTCCAATTTCATTCTGCTTCTCTTCCAATGTACCACTGGGTTCCCACTCTAGGCCCATGTGACCCTTTTCCCGCCTTTTTTGTTGCAACACTCACCCAGGTCACAGATTTTGTGTCTTCACGCCTGTACTGGAAATTATATTTTTGGTGGTGGATCATAATTGCGCTTAAAGCAAAGTGGCTTATTTTAACACAAATCTCTACACATAGATTATCTACAGCAAATATCATTAGAACAAGGTAGAGCATTATTAAAAACAAGGTGTCCGTGACAGACCGTAGACCTGCTGTAGTGCCAATACCCATGCTACACGGAGTCCTGTACCTCAGTGGTTAGAGCACTCGCTTTGCAAGTGAGAGACCTGAGTTCAATTCCAGGCGAAACCTTGGGCAAGTTTCCTTACTCCACACAGAGCCTACTAATAATCCCTCCAAAACCAAAAACAATAATAAATTGGTCATTTTCATTCTACGACTGTTTGTGGGACATTGCTGTGCGCAATTGGCTGCCGCGTTCGCCCACAAATATACAGTCAATTCACTTTACAGTGTGTTCTGTGAAGCGCTTTGGGACGTCCTCCCGACGTAAAAAGCGCTATATCAAATTCAAGGATTATTATTATTACACTGTGGGACCACACAGGGTCCAAGCTAGGTCTGCTCTTTTCTCCAGTAGAGCCATGCTACATGGAGAGGAACTGAGTGGAGGACTGGCACTTCCTCACTGGGGGAGGGAAAAGTTGTCCATCTGACTGAAAGGTGGAATTCAGCTTGGTCTTTTTTCTCCTGAACATCCTGTTAATGGAGATGGGAGACAGGCCTCTCATGTCAGATGTTTGATTCGATTTTTGTGAATCTTGGCTTTCCAGGGAAGATCTGGTGGTGGATTTGCAGAACCAGATTTCTCAACTGGTTCAAATGCTGGAAGAGGAGCGTTGTAATCAAGTCACAATTCGCACCAAGGTCAGGTGAAACTTCAGTTCGTTGTTTGTATATGTGCGTGTGCACTCACACATGTCGTTTTCCAGTTTATGTCCAATGGAGAGCAGGCGCTTCAGATGATACGGAGCCTGGTGCAGGAGAGAACATGAACTACAGAGTTCTGGATGATCTGCAGCCCGTGGAGGAAAGAGTTGGGAAGGATGACAAAACAGGGAATTGGTGTAGTTGAGTCTAGATGTGATGAATGCATGGATGATGGTTTTGGCAGCCTGAGGGCTGAGGCAATGGCAGAGCCGGGCAATGTTGCAGAGGTGGGGGAAGGCAGAGTGGGTCATGACACGGATGTGGGGTAGAAAGGATAGTTGAGGGTCAAACAAGGCCGCAATGTTCCAGACTGGCTCGGTGAGGTGGAGTGTGCATACATGGATGATGATGCTGTCAGTGCCTGAGGTGTGGAGGTGCTGACGAGAGACAATTGGGAGGGTCGCAGTCTTGTTGACATTCAACTGTAGAAAGTTAGTTCTCATCCAGGATTTGATGTCTGACAGACATTGTCAGGACAGCAGTGGTCCTGGAGTCAAGGGTGGAGGCAGAGAGGTAGAGTTGGGTATCATCTGCATACACGTGGATGGAAACCCCCTTTGTCACTTCTCAGCTCATCAGCTCTCAGCTCGGCTCAGCTCTCTCACCTCGAGTCAGGGGGTCATGAATTCATGCTGCAGAGTGAGATGTAAATAATTGCATCTAAGTGGATTTGGGGGATGTCTCACTGTTGAATGTTGTTGGTTCCAGTATGTGACTGAAATTGTGGAGGAAAGCAAAGAGTTGAAGAGACAGCACGAGGAGGAAATCAGGTAAGGACAATGACAACTGTAGGAGTGAGAGAAGAGATAGTGACTCTTTAAATATGTCCCACCAAATTAACAATTGCACAAAGATGGGAATATCGGATAGGAATATTGCATCGCAATGCACCTGACCTATTCTGTACCTACATTGTGCTACAAAGTATACACTCTACCACACTTTCTCCCTCCTTTAGGGCTAGTGCCAGATTTGCTGAGATGCTGCCGTGGTGTTTGCCACCTGCGACTGGCTTTGATGCAGACAATTAGGATAGTTAGCAAAATATGTTGTTACGATGTGGGATGATCTGCTGGAAGTGTTGTTTAATACAGGATTCCGTAATAGCTTTCAAGAGGGAGCCAGATGGAAATCTAAAGGTTAAATTGAAGGCAGGTTTGGGGGTGGGCGTTGGGGAGTATAGGATTGAATGGATTGTTCTTTCAAACACCAGCACAGACACAATGTGTTGAACGACCTATGCTGTAAAGGTTCTGTGGTTCACGATCTATAAAGAAGCACATTTCCTTGCCTTAGGAAGCTGGACTGTACTTTTCATCTTATTGAAACTGGAAAGAGAACTAAAGGTTTAAGATTCAACAAGTTGAGGAGTTCTTCCTCCCACCAGAACTGTGGATGTGTGGCCTGAATTTCCAACAAACATTGCCCGTGTTAACTCCTTATAAAAAGACCTGGATAAGTGGGTGGACATCTGAAAACTTGACCTATCTTTCCCTTCTGGGTGCTGATCCATGGTAAATATTGGAAAAGTACCCAATATTGTTGGGAACAATGTTGGAAGTTTATAGGATTGAGGGAACACCGTAAGGGATACTGTGCAGTGGGAGATTGGAAAATTAACTTGGGGGAGGAATGATATTAGGTGAGGGAGGATAAATAACAAATGTGGGAATAATGAATATTCTGGAATATTGTTTTTCTTGTGGTATCCGCCCCAGCTCTGATGCAAACCCTGGATTGTCCTTGGGACACCGTCCTGACATGAAAGGTGCTTTATAAATGTAAATTTGTTGTGTCTGGTATTACGTGTGTGGGGAAGGGGGTCATGGGAGTGAAATCAAAATGCAAGTTTTAAATGGATCCTTTGTTTTTGGGTTGATTGCAGCATAGTGGAGGAGAAGCATTCGGCAGAAATCCAGCAACTGCAGATCCATTTTAAGGAGAAACTAAAGGTGCAAATGGTTGACGCGCAGCAGCAGTACGGTAAGTCCCTTTCATTGAGATCACAAAAGCACGGTGGCTTCAAACAGCATTCCTTAGATAAGGAATCTGGAAGTACGTTGTGCCGACTCACAAAAAATCCTTCCGATGTTACCTACTTTCCAGGCAACGTTCCTGCGTCTTGGCGTCATGTGTGGGATATAGTTCCCGATAATGTAATGAGTACCCATTCATTTCCTTAATTTAACAATTTGTTTCAAATGTAATTTTATATCCAGTGGCGTTAAAGACCATTTCCTCCTGTTCTAAGCTTCCTTTTAATTAAATCTGAACTGATAAACCTGCCCTTATTATCAAACTGAATGTAATTTGGCAAAGGCATTATTGAATTATTCCTGGATCTGTTTAATTACTGTCTACATTATTTAACTCTTCGATTCTCTAGTTAAAATACATTATGCTCTTATGCATTTTTCTATTTTTTTTGCTAACAAAGGCGGTTATACGTGAACGGGGCTATGTAAATACAAGTTGTTATATTATCAGTGAATAAGGATTAATGCAAACCAATGTACATTGTTAACGACCACACCACTGTTAGGAAGCCTAACTTAGTATATGAGTGCTTACAGAAACTGTTTAGTTCACTTATTCCACCTGCTAATGTCTGTGTGGTCTAATATTAGCACATCTGACATGTGAATGAGATATTGGATAAATGCAGTGTAGGCCAAGTGATCCTGTATTATAAATAATAAAAATCCTCTCCTCATTATAGACGAGCTGAAGGACCAGCTAGATTTCCTGGACGCTACATTTGTCACATATAAGGTAAGATGTCATCATAAGAACGCGTGCAAGTATTGAGAGGGGGAGAGATGACAGCAAGTCTTCAGGCAGGCTTTGAAACTGGGGAGGGTATGGGCCAAGTTGGAGACACAATGGGATAGATTCCCAATTCCTTTCCCTTCTAAAGAGTTGTTCAAGTGTTTGTTTCAATTTGTTTCGTTCTTTGCTGGAGTGGAATATGAGTAGGTCAGAGAGGTGCAAGGGTAAAGATCTTGAAATCAGTCATTTTCGACATGGAGAGCCAGTGGAGCCCGCCAAAGATTGAGGTGCGGAGTTTAACTCTCTGTGTGAAAACAAGATTCACAACGGGTATATTTTTTCTAACTCAGGAAACCATCATTGAAGAAATGAATGAAAATTGGTCAAAGAAGGAAGAGGGTTTCAGAAGAGGCTCTACCAAAGTGAAGGACAAAGAATTGTTTGAACAGAGTAAGTAGCATAGTATTTACATCAATAATGTACTCCTTGGGCAAGAGGTGACCTGCACTGAAATGTACTCTTCATTGACAGATGGTATTATATTCCAGTTATTCCAACTGCTTTTTTAAAAAGTGATTTTCTTTAAAAATGTGTGCAAAATTTTAATGGTAGATATTGTCACAGCTACAATATCAAAGACAAGTGGTTGGCTTTCGTCCAAAACAACTGAATGTCATATTAAAGGTAGAAGCTGGCCGGTTAGAAGCGAGATCAGAATGGATAATGCTATGAATCCATGGGCACAATGGATAATACTACGAATTGATGGGATAGTACAATGGTTGGATGGATAACACTAGAGATAAATGTGTAAGTGGATACCAGTATAAGTGGGTTGGTGGATAATGCCATGTATTGATAACACTATAGATATAACTAGCTAAATTGATTAAAGGGTTGGATGGATTCTATCTTCCTCCACCGCCTTTCCTCTCAGCTCAACCTTCACAGAAGGCCTCACCCTCACTCCTTCCCAGAACAGTGATAGGGTCCCCCTAGTCCTCACCTTCCATCCCACCAGCCTCAACATCCAACACCCCATTTTCTCCTTTGCCTTCCTTGCCCTGCCTCCCGTCCTCTCTGTTAGCTCTGCCAGTGCTTTCGGACGCCCTCCCGACATGAAAGGCAATCTATATATGTAATTTTGTTGTTGTTCGCCCTTAAAAGCCTCTCCCTCCCAACATGCCCCAGTTCTGACGAAGGGTCGTGGACCCGAAACGGTGACTCACTTTCCTTTCTCCATAGATGCTGCCTGACCTGCTGAGTGTTCCCAGCGACTTCTGTTTTTGTTTCAGATTTCCAGCATCTGCAGTATTTTGCGTTTTCTTCATGACCTGCCCTTGCCTGGTTCAAATCATACCCCTCCCACCTTCTCCATTTTGTCTCCACTAACGATTTCTCCTCCAGCCCCCACACCATCATGTGCAGCTTCCCTCAGGGCTCTGTCCTTGGTCCTCCCTCCTTTTCAACATCTACATGCTCCCTTTTGGTGATATCATCTGTAGACATGGGGTCAACTTCACATGCATGTGGATGACACCCAACTCTACCTCTCCGCTTCCACTCTTGAGTCCAGGACCACTGCTGTCCTCACAGATTGCCTGTCGGACATCAAGTCCTGGATAAGAGCTAACTTACTCCAGTTGAATGTCAACAAGGCTGAGGCCCACTTGATTGGCTCCAGGCAACGCCTCCAGACCTCAGGCACTGGCAGCACCACCCTTGATGGATGCACTCTACGCCTCATAGAGCCAATATGGAACTCGGCATCCTGTTCGACCCTCAACTGTCCTCAACTCCTCCCTCCAGAGGCTGCATATCATCCAAAACTCTGCAGCCCATGTCCACTCCCACACCAGGCTCCGTGACCCTATCACGCCTATCGTCGCCAGACTCCACTGGCTCCCCAGTTCAAGATCCTGGTCCTCACCTTCAAAGCCCTCCACGGCCTTGCTCCTCTCTACCTCTATGACCTCCTAAACCCCTACCGACCTGTCCCCTCCCTCTGCTCAGCAGGCTCCAGGCTGCTTCACGTACCCTGCATCGCCCGCCCCACAACTAGTGGGCAGGCCTTCAGCCTCTCTGCCCCCCCCACCACCCTCTGGAACTCCATCCCACAGTCCCTCTGCCTCGCCACCTCCTTCAAGACCCTCCTCTTCGACCATGCCTTCAGTTACCCTCCTACCCTTACCCTCCCCATCCTCCACCCCTCCTGATCCCAATCACCAGCTCGGGTGCAGGTTCCTGACTGTCCAGTGCCTTTGCGACATCCTCCTTATGCGAGAGACACTATACAAATGTAATTTGTTGTTACTAGATGATGCCAGGGGTGTGGGTGCAGCAAGGTTTGATTTCAAAAAAGCACAATGTCTGAGAAAAACTACTTCCTTAAACATGATCATTGCTAATGCCTAATATTTTGAACTACAAGAGCAACAGGTATCAGATGTATGAATCCAGCTGCCGCCAATTGCTTTCCCATTAGGCAAATAGTACGGTTTCTGATTGAAACATCTGGTTTGTCCAACAGAGCAGGTGCTATTAAATATATTTGAGCAGGAGAAGGAAACTTTAGAAACCAAAAACCAAAACGAGATTACTTTCTTGAAAGAACATCATGAACGTGAGATACAGGTGAGAAATAATTTATTTTACATGGTGTTTGTTGCATGTGAGGAAGCAGATAATTAAGATACGAACATTCCCATTGAGTTCATAATGTGTCAGCCTGGCTCAGTTGGGTCGAATTCTCACCTCTGAGTCAGAAGAATGTGGATTCAAATTCCAGCTTTGGATTACTCAAATGCACTCCTCCTCGCCTGAAAACCTTCCTCTTCAACCGTGCTTATGGCCCCCTCCAGATTGTAAGTAGCATGGGGGAGGTGGCCGTAAGCACTCGGAGCGGAGTCAGGCTCTGCCACTGTTAAGCGCTCTGAGACTACCCTGTATGGAGGGCGCTATATAAGTGCAAGTTGTTTTTGTTGTTGAATTTACATAGTCTCATCTGACACTCCAATGCATTACTTGGGATAATCTCATTACTTTTAGATGTCCTGGTGTGAAAGGTGCCATGTGAAATAACATTTATTATAATTTCTGTCAAATTCATTGATCATAACCATTTTGTAATCGCACTGTGTGCTGCTTCTTCCTCCACCCTCTCCCCCCCCCCCACTATACTGTGGGTCCGTATAATACACTGTGACCTCACAGAATACACAATCTTAGGGCACACTGGCACTGCCTTCAGCAGCATCTATAGCAATGGCTGGAAACACTTGCGAGAGTAGTAGAGCAGAGACTTGCTCTTGATTTGAGTAGTGAGCTGATGACAATGTGTTGACTAGTGGCTACACTCTTAACACAACCAATAGTAAAATGGGTTTCATTTTATGGAGTCTAACAACTGTATAGAGAAATGGCCACTTGGGATAGACTGGAGAATGCCTCTGGAAGTCCTTTAACATTCATGCTGAGATGTACTCAGGATCAGTGTGGATGCCAGATGAGTCGTCACTTATTTTATCAGGGTGCAGAAGGGTGAAATGTCTCCTCCATTTCCTTTAACTTCATGGACACTCTAGTTTGGTTCTTAAACCTAAGCCAACTCAGCCCTTGCCAGCTCGATCACTGAATATTTCCAGAGTCCAGAGAAAATCCCCCATGAGCAGAGTTTCCTGTTGATTTTTGCGGGGAGGTCAGTTGTTGAAATAAATGTTGCACTTGAATTTGATGTTTAACGATGGGGCCAGGGACCAAGCAAGGAGAACAGGAGGAGACGGCAGGCACAATTGAAGAGGTAGATTTTTAGGCAGGATATAAACACAAAGTGGGGGGGGGGCAAGAGAGAGAAGGCACTCCAGAATGAAGCAGTTAAAGGCTCAGGCACTGACGATGGTATGGAGGGGGCAGGGAATGTACAGTTACAGTCACAAGTAAATATTTATTTACAATTTGACCCCACTGAGTTACAATGTCAATAACTTGCATTTATATAGTACCTTTCAGACAGAGTAGTGTCTTAGAGCACTTTGACCTGTAACAACCTGTAATCTTAAACAAAAACACAAAAATCTAATTCCACGATTTCATGAGCTGCCCAGTGAGTTCACTATTGATCATCCCTTCATACAGGAGGTCACTACAAAGTACAACGCAATGTTTGAACTGGTTGGACAGCTGGAGAAAGCGGATCAGCATATCGAGGTATGAAGATAAATTTACCAGGTTCTTCTTTAAAAAAAACTGCAATGGATTAAATCACTGTCATGAAGTATGAATTTTGAAGCACCAGCCTCCCCAGCAGCTGTGTGGAAGTATCAAGTTGTCATTTCTCAAATTGAGGAAATGTACCATCCACGTCTTTCTAAACAAATGTGTGTGGGACTGGAGTGCTTCAGGGCCGTGTGTAATATCAAGAGATATTCACACTAAAATGGGAGTGGTACTAGGGGTTAGTGAGGACCAGTTTTGTCTGTACCAAACTGGCAGGAGGAATGAGTTTACAAATAATTGTTTTTTCTCTCAGGATCTGAGAATAAAGCTGGCAGAAAAGACACAAGCCCTGGAGCTGCAGAGTATACATCTGAAAGAGGTTGAGGTGGCATTGAGGGCAGCTGTAAGCAATAGTTTTCTTACCTTGTTATGCGCTTGTTCATTCTTAATTTTAAAAACAGCTAAACCTTGGTGCTTGCTGAAGGTGGTCAGGACAGAATGGTTTCCCGTCTGTTAGCAGCCTTGGGAGCTCCAGGTAAAATGCTTAAGGAAAAGAGGGTAACTACCATGGAGCTGATATGATTGCAGTGCTTTACCCAATGTACTTCCTTCACTTTCCTAGTTGCTAGGGTTGATTTTACTTTCTGGCCTCTGACACTGGTAAACATTTTGCTGCTATTACAGTGAGGTAGGATCCATCTCTGCCTGTATTCCCTGACAAATCCTTACTGTGATTGCAAAGAGCACTGATAGTTCATTAGTGATGATGGAAAAGGGGAAGAACATTGAGCTGCCAATATTAAACAGAAGTAAATTCCACCTTGAAATGAGGCACTTCTTAGCAGAGCTGCTTATTTATAATTTAATTTGCCATCACCCTAAAGACACATTTAAGTTTCTATTGTAAACACAGACTGAAACAACCCCTTTCAGGTACATTCAAGATTATTTCAGTCTGGCTCCATTAATATTGTGATACTTGGTGCACATGTACACAATAAAGGCATCTCCAAAATCAGTGTAGAGAAATATTATACTGTATTCCTGCAAATATTTTGAAAATCCTATCCTTATTTCAGAACATAGAGATATCGGAGTATCAAAAAAACTTTGATGCAAAAGTTTCTGAAGTGGATGACAAATATTGGAATTATATTCACTTTTTACTGAATCAGAACATCGACCTGAGGTAAGAGGCAGAGCTGCCAAGTGCTGGGTCTTAAACATTTGAATTCTTCTTATTGTCCCTTTAGTACATTTCCAAATGAAACGCACCAAACATTTGGAATCTTGTGTGTGTGTATATATATACATATATTCACATGCACACACATACAAGTTCATTTATATAGTCCTTTCATGTTGGGAGGATATCCCAAGGTGCTTAACAGTCCTGGCTTAGCACCCAAGGATGAGGTAAGATAACATACATGAATACAGGCTTAGTTCATACTGATGCAGCAATGCTTTCAGCAGCACAGTTTGTCATTTACTGAGGCAGTGTTCTCCCATTCTAAATGTGTTAGGTGTGAAAAATCAAGCTGGCAAATACCTTGGCTGACAATTGCTGCAGTGAATCACAAGCTGGCAGGGGTTAAGCCTCAAATGTCTCCAAGTGAACCTCACTGCAAAACGTCTTTTGAATTCAGGTTAATCTGGAATACCCAAAATAGTAGTTGTCCAGATATGGATTGTTAGGAACTGGAATTTCATTATCACTCCTAGGAGACAAAATTGGGTGTTGAGTAGATACAAAACTGGCAAAATTCTTTGATGTAGAACACACAATGAGCTCTCAGCCTAGCACTCTGGTAGGGGGCTACATAGTCAGTGGTTGTCTTCTGGATGAGACATCACACACCCACCTGAACTGGATTCTAGACCTGAGTTTATTCAACAGTATTCAAAGAGGGAATTCTCCCAATTTCTTGGTAAATTGGTCATTTGCTCATGGGTGTTCGTGGAGCACTGCCCAAATTGGTTGCCATGTTCGGCACATATACAGTCACTATACGTGACAGGTTCACTCGGAGACAATTATTCTAAGCACTTTGAGATGTTTTAACGTAAGCACTAAATAAGTTTATTATATTAGCTGTACCCATTGCAGCTTTGTGTGCAACCAAAGGATCCAATATGGAATGTACATTGACACACATACACTTTGGCTTTATATATACTCCTTTTGGAAGGACTCCTTTAATATATTTTCTCCCACAAAACTACACTTTGTAATATATTGTCTCTCACCCAGTGTCTCTTACTATTTCAGTCTGTCTGTCCCACATGGGAGGACTCTACCTCCCATGACAACCAGAAAAAAGTGCCATACATTTGTTACAGACTATAGATGTCTCTATCTGTGATTTTGTCTGTTGCTGCAAAGTTGCAGAATACATTGCATACCTCATAAATTGGGGCTTAATGGACGCATTTTTTAATATAGCTCATGATAGGAGATCCCCCCAAAAATGCCCATGACACAGCCAGTTGTAAGACCTTTCTGATGAGGTATGGACCATATCTCTACATCAATCAGTTATTGTGTGATTATAAGATACAGACAGACAGACACTTTGTCTTTATTAATATAGTGGAAGAACAGGCTTTTAATAATAATAATCCTTGCATTTGATACAGCACTTTGTCAAGTCTTCAAAATGTCTCAAAGCACTTCACAAAATAATAATAATAATCCTTGCATTTGATATAGCGCTTTTCACGTCGGGAGGACGTCCCAAAGCCCTTCACAGAACACACTGTAAAGTGAATTGACTGTATATTTGTGGGCGAACGCGGCAGCCAATTGCGCACAGCAATGTCCCACAAACAGTCGTAGATTGAAAATGAAAATTTTTATTATTGTTGTTGGTTTTGGAGGGATTATTATTAGGCTCTGTGTGGAGTAAGGAAACTTGCCCAAGGTTTCGCCCTCTGCCTGGAATTGAACTCAGGTCTCTCACTTGCAAAGCGAGTGCTCTAACCACTGAGCTACAGGACTCCTCCAAAATATATTGTACAGTGAATTGATTGTAAGTTTATATGGTGATTTTTCTGTTCCCTGGTTCTTCCACTGGTTGGTAACTTTTTTTTAATATAAATCCTTTGCTCAAGGATACCACTCAAGGACACCACTTGCCTTATCCCCCTACTCCTCTGGCTCTTTCCCCTCTTTCGAGCACCTCACCCTCTCCCACCCCTAATTCCTCTCACTCAAAATCGTCCTCCTCTACCGGCCCCCTAAAACCTCTCCCACCTTCATCTCCGATATTTCGACACTTCTCACATCTCTCTGCATCTGCTCTGATCGCCTCATCATCCTGGGCGACTTCAACCTGCACTTCACCCTCTCCTGCTCCATCTCCTCAGACTTCTCTTCCCTGCTCTCCTCGCTCAACCTCTCCCTCCAACATCAACTCCGCCACTCAGTCACGGCCACTCCCCACCCTCTGTCACTAAACTCATCCTATCCCTGAAACCCACCACCTGCTCCCTTGACCCCATCCCCACTCCTTATCTCTCAGCTCCACCTCCTTGCCCCACATATCACAGACATCATCAACCTGTCCCTCTCCTCTGGCTCTGTTCCCATTCCCCTAAAAACTGTCACCATCACTCCCACTTTGAAAAAACCCTCCCTTGATGCGTCGCAGCTATCAAGCTACCGGCCCATCTCCAACCTCCCCTTCCTGTCCAAGGTCCTTGAAAGAGTTGTCGCCTCTTAGCTGCGCCCTTTCCTCTCCACCCATTCATTATTCAAACCTCTTCAGTCGGGTTTCCGTGCTGCCCATAGCACAGAAACTGCCCTGGTCAAGGTCACCGATGACATCCTGACCATCTGTGACCAGGGCTCCCTCTGCCTCCTCATCCTCCTCGACCTATTGGCAGCATTCGATACAGTGAACCACGCTATCCTCCTCCACCGCTTGTCCTCCCACCTCAACCTTCAAGGCCCTATCCTTGAGTGGTTTAGGTTGTACCTCTCCCACCGTCTTCATTTTGTTTCCACAAACGGCTTTTCCCCAGCCCCCGCACTGTCTCGTGCGGTGTCCCTCAGGGCTCTGTCCTCGGTCCCCTCCTCTTCACCCTCTATATGCTCCCCCTTGGTGACATCATCCGCAGACATGGGGTTAACTTCCACATGTATGCGGATGACACCCAACTCTACCCTCAACTCCACGACCACCGATGTCCTGACAGCTGCCTGTCTGACATCGAGTCCTGGACGAGAGACAACTTTCTTCAGCTCAACGTGCGTAAAACTGAGGCCCTCCTGATTGGCTCACGTCAGCGCCTCCGCACCTCAGGTGTTGACAGCATCAGCATCCAAGGCTGCACTCTCCACCTCTCAAAGCCATCAGGAACCTTGGTGTTCGGTTCGACCCTGAGCTATCCTTTCTCCCTCATATCCGCGCCACAACTGGCACCGCCTTCCATCACCTCCGGAACATCGCCAGACTACGGCACTACCTCACCCCTCACGCTGCTGATTCTCTGGTCCACGCCTTTATCACCTCAAGGCTGGACTATGGGAACTCTCTCCTCGCCGGCCTTCCCGCACCTCTCTCCACAAGCTGCAGGTCATTCAGAACTCTGCAGCTCATGTACTGTCCCGCACCAGGCTTCAGGACCACATCACTCCCACCCTCGCTCACCTCCACTGGCTCCCCATCTCCCAGAGGATCGAATTCAAGATCCTCATCCTCACCTACAAAGCCATTCACGGCCTCGCTCCCTCCTACCTCTCCGACCTACTATCCCCCTACCTACCTGCCCGTACCCTCCGTTCCTCTGGCTCCGATCTGCTCCACATCCCCCACCCCAACCGCCCTACCATCGGTGGCCGGGCCTTCAGCCTCTCAGCCCCGAGGCTCTGGAACTCCATCCCCCAGTGCCTTCGCCGCCTCCTCCCTTTCCTCCTTCAAGGCCGGTCTCAAGACCTTTCTCTTTGACCATGCCTTCAACTCCCCTCTCAACTCTCTGCCCCCTCCCCTCACCATTTCCCCCCTCCTCGCTCCCTCCCTCCCCTCACCCTGACCATTTCCCCCATGCTCGGGTCCTGACCCAATTGTCCAGCGCTTTGGGACGTCTTCCCGACGTGAAAGGCGCTCTATAAATGGAATCTTGTTGTTGTTCAGGCATCGGTTAACTCTAGTGAGTGCAGATCTATGTGCTGCACAGGCAACAGTTGAAGAAAAGCACAAGAGATGGAAGCAACAGGTTGAATCAATGGCTCAGCAAAAATATGAAGAAGGCAGTGAAGAGGCAAGCCCTCCACCTGCAAGACCTGCCATACCTCCCCGGTCAAGGATGGGATCCACCGTGTCAAAATCACCACCTGCTCCACCATCAACCTGCCTAAGGAAAGGCAGACCCTATGACGAAATGAAGCCGCTGCCTACATGTGAACATGCCTATGATCACTTGAGGGAGTCCAATGCTGATATTCCAGACCTACGAGTGGAAGGCCACAAGGCACCTTGAATTTTTGTATGTTTGCATTATTTTGGTTAAATTAAAAGGTTAAAAGTTAAAGCGGTAAAAAATGGTAATTTTATCATTTTTACTCATGTATCTCACACTTGGAACTCTACCTCAATATTGCTGGCTTGGTGCCTCCAGGAGAGGGTGCAAAGTCCCTGTTATTTTTCCTCTGGTAAAAACTAATCAGAACCAGAGAGTAATATGTCATTGAAACAGAGATCTTTCTGACCTGGAGCTCATGTCTACGTCTGGAGATGGTAACACCGAGATAAAGTGGCAGTACTCTAGTGCCAAAAAAATTGAGCAGCTCAAGTTATCAAGTCAAGATAATATGATTCAATGGAAACAGGTTATAAGCTGGGCCAATAGAAATGTGTGGAAATATTTGCCCCAAATTGCAAGGAAATATTTTGCAAGCTTTGCTGAAAAATTGTGGGGGGGAGTTGATTGGTGATATTGAGGTATTATTGAGTCAGTGAAGCTACAGGAGCTCACCACCTCCTGCCTCTCAGTGCCCCACACATATTGAGAGATACTCACACACACGCACACAACAGCAGTGGCTCGGAGTGAAGCCCATTTACAGCTTGCGCCACACCGCTCATGTGAGTCTGGAGCCGTGCCGTCCAGTGATGTCAGGTAAACAGCGAGAGGCCTGGGCCTGGAAACTACATTTCTAGGGGGTTTGCAGCTGGGGAGGTTGTAGCAGATTCTGCGAAAAAAGTGTGGCTGCACATTTCTATTGGCCTAGGTTATAAGGTACAATAGGAGTCCATGTGGTGACAGTAAGTGGAATGCTTAATGAATTTCTTTAGGACTAAAAAGGAGTTGCAGTAAAGTATGAAAACACAGCAGGCGCAATCTGCCAAAACAGCCTACTTTGAATTCTCTGATCATCAAGAGAACAGCATATTCTGATACATTCCAATCACTAACCTCTGCTTGGGTAATGATTCCTCCTAAGGTTTGTTTTTCAACAATTTACGTGGACTGGCAAATGTCTTTTTGTCCATCCATTTAGAACACAAAAGCTCTATGAACATTAGCAAAACAATACTTGCTTTCCCTAGGAGTATTACAGGAGTATTACATATTTGGCAATGGGCACCTTCCCGAGAGAAAAGAAACTCAGACATAGTTAAGACACAGCAGATAGTTTCTGACCGTCTTATTTTAAGATTTTACCCCAGTGTGAATTTGGAGGCTGCAGAACCTGGTCAGTAAAATTCGCAAACAAATATTTCCGATTGACTTGACAATTCCCCCCTCTTTGTCATTGGAGCACCACCAGACAGGAAAGATGCTAATTTCAGACTCAGCGCAATGCAACATTAAAATAACTCCCCAAAAATACCAACCTACTTGTTGAGTAATCCAAGTAAATCAATAGGGTCGATGACCAATATATTCTTCAAATGCTAGAACTGAAACCAACATTACCACAAAACTTAAACACATCAGAACTCAGGTACAATCTTTTGTACAAATCCTTTAATCAATGTATAGAGATTTACATAACTTATTGCACATGTTCCTGTCCGAGATAAAAATAAATTAATTCCAATATACCAAACATTTATAAATGTCCCGCAACAAAAAAAAGGAATTATGCTGACATGAGGGATTACCCCAGAGGTCCATACAAAGGTTTCTCTTCGATTCTTTCTACAGTTCATAAGATCCTGAGGGACAGGTTTGACCCCTGATCACTCCTGCTACAAGTTTCACCCTTGAGAGGGAATTTGAAATATGCAATTCTTTCAAATGGGAATCAGCATCTCCTCATCTTGTATAACTAACATGATTCACTTTCTTCTTCTGCAAAGGTGCCAGGTCATTGGAAACCATTTGCTCTCCCCCTGCTCCCAAACGCAACTACTGGGATCTATCAATGCTTACACCAAAGAAATATATTAGATTTGGGTGTTTTGCAACTAAACTTTCAAAAAAGGCAGAGCAAGAGAGTAGCTGTAATAAGGATTGTTAGCTGCATTATAATGTTGTTGTTCAGAAAAACTGTATAGAAGCAAATCACTGGCAAGTTCCAGTTTACATATCACCTGTACCTGCTCCTGTTACCAGCACATAATGGGGGTATAGAATATTAATGCTCAAACTGGATTTGTTGCATTGACGACAAGTTACAAGTTGTGAGATTTGCAAAATGGTGTTTTGTTATTTTTCAGACTTGGCACGTGCCATTATGTGAGTCTATTCTAACTCAAACATCACAATCTGATGCATGCAAACTGTAAATCACAATTAACCCCATGAATCCTATTTTCAAATGTTCGCTGTCCAGACCTCCTCTATATGCAACTTTGGCTCAGCTTTCAATTGCAAAATTTCACTTCTCAAACCATCTCCTCTCTGCCTTTTCATTCCATCTTTCAATGGAGACAGAAGAAGTTGGCATAATTCCCCCAATAACCTGCGATACTAATAGAATGTGCTTTGAAGGGAGTTATTGTTTTTCCTATTCATTTGGTTTACTACCTTTTCTAGATAGGGTTCTGCTCCTTTGGTTAAACTGACCAAAATAGGTTAAAGAGCAACTCAAGAAATAGCAGAGTCTGAACATCAATCAAGTGGCTTCTCGCATCATCCCACTGGACTCTACAGGTGTAGGTGTACTGAATAGAGAAGCCCATAATTCTGACTGAACCCCAGTAGAAAATGGAGGCACCTGGCACCTTTAGGGCGGAGGCCGAAAAGGATAGCAAGGAATCCTGTCTGACGGCTAGCTGGGCAAGGTGTACCGTTACTAAAGAGTGCGGGAAAAATATGAATTTTGCACATGTTCTCTCACAATCAGTCTAGAAGATTTTAGCGTTGTGTTTGCCTTGTTTACCAGCTGCTGATTTGATTGCAGGATTAACATGTACTGTCCATTCTCTGCCAGAGGAGGAATCAATAGTCAAAATCAAAATATAAAATGTAACTTGGGCATCACTATGGTGAAATTAGAACTAAATCAAAATTCTTTAAAAGGAGCAAATTGATTCAACAACACTTTNAAAAAAACTAACTTTTCCAAATGATTTTGCTGTGGTACACGTCTTGAGTGAATTCCCACTTCATCAGAACTATTCTGTTCTCTACTATTCAATAAAATCAAACCGTGGCATTTGCCCTTTAACCCTTTGTAAACTACTTACTATCTTTTACATAATTTAAAAATAGAAGACAGCAAAAAAGCTGAATACAAGTACCTTACATTTGGTTACCCCATTAGATCAATAGGTGTCTTCACAAGAATTGCTTTCGCTCTATCTCTGCCCAGCAACAATCTCACTGACACCCCAACCACTAGAACAATTTAAAAGTTGCTACCACAGATGTTCATGTGGTTGCTAAAGCTACATCTTTACTAACTAAATGCACCACCTCGTATGGATTTTAATGGAATGGATCGTCAATGCAAAAGAAACCTGGTGTCTGAATTCATAGTTTTGATTTGTTCAAATATCCAAACAAGGCACAATATGTATAATGTTATTCAGATCTTATTTATGGGAACACTGGGCAAAAGTTTCCCGAGTGTCTGGATTCCTTAAAACTGGATAAACAGATTGCCTTGCTCTCAAACCGAGAGTGGCTAACGGTAAAGATTTGCTTCTATGCAATTTTCCACTCGATTGTACGCATGTCGGAATAACATCCTTAAATTGAAAGAGCAAGCCTGCACAACACTCTTAGCAACGAGCATTATCACCTCTGTGGTTTCTTAGTCACAGTGTTTGTGTGGTCTGTTGTTAATCCAAGTATTTACAAGAGGATAGCTATTATTTAAGGCATTGGGTAGCTTCAATAGCACAATAACCCAGTTGAACAAAAAAAAGTACAACAATTAAATCCTTGTGACATCTAACATTGTAATCTTATCAATGATCCACATACTGTAGGAATTTATTTTTCTCTGCTCAGTGTATTCTCATTTTCCACACCACCCCATGCTTCAACATTAATGAACCAGGCATTCTCTGGGATGGGAATTCAAATCCTGAGGTTAGAAACAATTCACTTGTAATAGACTCAGACCTCGCCAGCAAGTCCGGCTATTAACCAAAAGACGGACCACATGATCTGGTAATTGTGCTTTTCACAATTGTCACAACTGCCAGGTCACAAACCTCTACGAAAGTGTGACCCATACAACAAATGACAGTGTCTTGAAATTTTAATCATAAATCAATACACTACTTTCAGAACAAGTGGGAGCAAGATACCTGCATGTGAGAGCATATTAATTTACCACACTATCTAAAGCGTAGGATGCTGGGATCTACAAACACTGGGCACTATAAACAACTAACGCTTTCTGCCCACACAGTTGGTGGGAGCCAATTCCCATTCATTGCATAGCTATTTTAGAAATGATTTCTGAATAATTATTTGCAAGGTGAAAACTAATTTCTTTTAAAAAATGTTTAAGTAGATATTAAAGCTTATAAAAATATTTTAAAGGTCCACAAACGTTTTTTTTTATATCAAGGTTCCAATAACATATTATGGTGGGTTTCCCCTGCCAACAGTTAAACCCCTGTCAAGACAAGAAAATGTACTGAAGAATCACTTAATGATCTTGCCACCCTGTCTTTAAACCTGAATAAATAATCTGGCCCATTTTTTCTGTGTTCAGCAGCATGTAAATTACTTTGTACACCCAGCTGTCTTACTCAGCATTACACCTGTTAATCACTTCAGGAGCTCGCCAGCTCTTTCAAGCACTCGCTTCAGTGCCCAAATTTTCTGCTCTTTGTTCTTTCTTCGTTACCTGAAGTCCGCTACACTGATGGATAGAGCCACCTCAGGTCTACGGGCACGAGCACAGTGGGCAGTTTTACCATCCAGAGCATCTCCGCTTTGATGGGCAGGGGCTTGGCGACTGTGAAGAGAGGAATATTCTTCACTGGGCTATATTCAGAATATCAGGACACCTTCTTGGCTTAGGTTTTGATTATTCTTTAAAACAGGACAATGTCTCAAAACACTTCAGTGGGGGCCACAGAGCATAATAATATTTCTATTTGATATAGTGCTTTTCACGTACTCTAGATGTCTAAAAGTGTTTCACAGAATATATTATAAAGTGAATTGACTGTATATTTGTGGGAAACGCAGCAGCCAATTGCACAAAGCAGTTTCCCACAAACAGTCATGGATTAATTGACCAAATAATAATTTTTTTTTGAGGGAATATTCTCCCCAGAAAAGCGATCCGCCAATCGACTAACAACTAGGTTCCTACTTACTGCTAGGTAAACAGAGGCGTGTAGAGTAAGAAAACTTGACCAACATTTTGCCTTGCCGGGAATAGAACCCAGGTTCTCTCGCTTGCGAAACAAGTGCTCTAACCACTGAGCATGTTGAGAAATACACAGCAGAGAGATTTTACAGAATGCTCCTGAGAATGGAGCTTTGAGAGATCAAGAAAAAGTTTCCAAAAGGCACAGAAATGCATTTAATAATAATAATAATAATGGAGTCCTGTAGCTCAGTAGTTAGAGCACTCGCTTTGCAAGTGAGAGACCTGAGTTCAATTCCAGGCAGAGGGCGAAACCTTGGGCAAGTTTCCTTACTCCACACAGAGCCTAATAATAATCCCTCCAAAACCAAAAACAATAATAAATTGGTCATTTTCAATCTATGACTGTTTGTGGGACATGACTGTCTGTGTGCAATTGGCTGCCGTGTTCGCCCACAAACATACATACAGTCAATTCACTTTACAGTGTGTTCTGTGAAGCACTTTGGGATGTCCTCCCGACGTGAAAAGCGCTATATCAAATGCAAGGATTATTATTAATAACAATCCCAACGGCAGAACTAACTGAAGTTTAGGTGATGCACGCTGGAGCTTCGAGGGAAATAGGTTAAAGCTTCAGTGTGCATACACTACATGGTGGAAATCATAATCCCTCATTAGAAATCTAGATCAAGTTACCTTCTGTCCCCTTTACTTCCTTCTAGTGTGTGCTGCTCTTTCACAAAGTCATCAGTTAAGGTGCTGAAATCCTTATTCATGTCAATCAATAAATTCTGTTTGAATAAAACAAAATGTTAAATAATATTTTTTTAAAATTGCAAGTTCCTAAAAGGTAAGTGGATCGGTTCCCGGGGGCTTTGGTTGACTAGCTGTCAACAACAACAACTTGGATTTATACAGCGCCTTCCACGCCGGATGGCGTCTTAGAGAGCTTCACAGTAAGGAATCCCGGGGCCGAGCGAGGGGGAGGGGGAGGAAGGTGACCAAAGGTGCGGTCGAACAGAAAGGTCTTCAGAAGGGACCTGAAAGTAGGAAGAGGGGGCGAGGTGAAGGGAGTGAGGAAGGGAATTCCAGAACCTCGGGGCATAGCGGCTGAAGGCACGGCTGCCAAGGGTGGAGTCACTGACAACCTGGACTTAGCTAAAAGTAGCTATAAATCTGGTGTGTGCCACACCCTCCTGAATTTGTGCTGCAGCATTGTCTGTCAAGATTACCCTGAGAATTTATTTTGACAAGACATTAATTTGTGCTGCTACTCTGCTCCCAAAATGATCCTTTAAAAGTTCTTAGCACTGGATAGCCCAAGAGCTTTCAAGGAATTATTACTGCTATTATTATTAAAACTCTTTAACATTAAAAAACTAACGTGGTTAACAGTGTGTTCACATTACTCCCAGCATTATAAACCCGCCATTTATTTAAGAATTAATATTTGAGAATTAAAACGGGGAGGGGGCAGGATTTTAAAAGTACTGTAGAATAGTTTGTTTAGAATGGGCTTTGATGGGGAGATAATATTATTAATTGTAAGTGCAGAGTATGAACTTTACCTTAACCCCAATAATATCACCATCTTTCAGATGATTTGGTGCCCCTTGTAGATTCTCCGGTTTCTTTTTCCTTTTCTTTTTTGAAACTTGTTGGCTCTAAGAACAAGGACATTTTAAAAGTATACAAACTAATGGGAAGTTCCACCACACAAGCTCCATTCTGCTCCAATGATGTACAACCGTTTGAGCTGTTCAGCAGCTCTATAAGTTTCGCAGTAAAAAAAACCTTGCCTTATGCATCTTACCCAGCTGGAGATGGGCATCCATGTAGACTTCTCTGGAAAGTATTTTGCAATTTCAATCTGCTCCACAGTCAGTGAGTAACGCTGGGCAATCTTGTGTCTAAGTGTCCGAGCCGTGCATTCCTTAGATGTGTCAAAAATAAAGTCTTCTGGAGGGTAATAGGAACTTTCACCGGGCACTGCCATCCAAAGCTGCAGCAACAATTCAGTGGAGCTGAACAAAAACAGAGCCAAATTTACAATGCAGATAGAGAAAATTTTAACACTGAAAAAATGATAGAAATGCACCAGATGAGGTTTGCTGCAATGACGGATTACACTCGAAATGTTAATATGTTAACAATGTTAAGATTAAGATTAATACTAGCACCTATTGTTGATCTTGCAGAGCAAGGGCTGAGGCTAACAGCCACTAACGGAGCTAAAATTCTGTAATGAGGAATCCCAATGAGACTTCCAAGTACAATTTTCAGGAGACCATTTCATGAGCAGAAAGTGATTATAATATTAATATCAAATCTCAACCAGACAGATAAAACTGGTAAATTGGTAACATAAGATGCCAGGGAGATTTTGTTTTCGTGCAGACGATTATTGTAACACGGAATGTTTGGCCAAAAGTGGAAATTGAACCTATGCTTAAAAGGGAACTGAGTAAGTATTTGAAGAGGAACAAAATGAAAGGTGAAAAGTGCAAGGCATTGAGATTCAAGTGTATATCTCCAATGGGGGAAAGTTAGGTCAGGCGAGTTTGATGAACCAAATAGTTTCCTTTTATTTCAATAATTCTATCCAACAGTGGCAAGACTAAGTTTAATATATACTCACAACCAATAAAAAACAAATGAATCTGGACCAAATGTTACTGATTTAAATGTTTGTATTGTTAATAGTTGAACAGATAACAATGTGCCAATGTTGTCAGATACTGGAGAATAAATAGCGCCATTGTACACTCACGTCAACTCCTCGTCTGCCTGCAGTAGCTGAATGCCGATCTCCACACTGCTTCTCAGTTTAAATTTGCTGCACACACAAGATGAACAAGATTAAAATTCAGAATAGCTTTTTTCCAAGAATAAATCAGACCCTCTACTGGGCGTTCTCACTTCTTGATTAAACCAACACTATCCCACTCACCACCTCCAGTGTAACACTCCCACTATCACAGTCACTATCTCCTGTGTAACCCACACCTGGAGCACACACTTTATATGAATAAAGGCAGTCTCCACCTAGCTCTTACCTGAGCTGCTGCTGGTGGTTCCGCAGGATTTTGGTACGGCATTTACTCTCCAGGAGCCAGACTCTGAGGAACTTTACTGAAGGAACGGAGAGCGACTGCAGCATTGGCAAAGTTAGAACCTGTAACAATAAAAAGTTAAGCTAACAGAAGGTTTTCTGAACCCATATAAATCTATCTTCATCTACACTGCTTATTCATCAGCAGTGCAGCAAACACTAGCTCGCTTCATTCACCACACGCTATCCAGCCCACCACTGGCAGGCGAGCTTTAAGCCAACCCCCTTCTCCTCCCCCCCTTCTCCCCCCCTGACCCCAGCTTGGGTCTGAAATGCTGCATATTGTCCAGCGTCTTGGGACGTGTGAAAGGCGCGATACAAATGTAATCATGTAGTAGTTGCTCTCTGGAATTCCATCCCAGAGTCCCTCCGATTCGGTCCTCCCTCTCCTTGTTCAAGGCACGTCTCTAAACATACCTCCTTGATCGCACTTTACTGACATCTCTCCCCTCCCCTCGCCCTTTCTCCCACCCCAGATCGGATGCCCATCCACCATTGTTAAGTACTTTGAGATGCCCTCACGACATGAAAAGCACTCACAAATATTTGAGCTACAACCCTCGTTCATTTTCCTACACAAGCAACCTGGACGTCCTCTTGATGAGATGTTAAATCCAAAGTTCCAATTGCCCATTTTCAGGCCGAGATTAAAAATCCCTCAACATTATTTGAAAAGAGAAGGGAATACGTAACAATGATGTTGTTATCAATTGTCCAAATAAAAATGGTTACTCAGCTCACGTCTGGTCAAATGGTTGTTACATTTGCCAACAACAACAAAAAAAAAATCGCTCGACTTGAAAGTAAATATTGTAAAGCATTTGCATCACAAACACCAAGGATCGAGAGAAAACAAAAAAATTGAACCAACTTACCTGAGTTTTTAAATCCTCTAGATTGGCTTCTCCAGATATCTCAATATCACCCATGAACATCAGTTCAGCGTCCAAGTGATGCTGCAGTGAATGATCTGGAATGAGAGCACCATTGGACTAAAGATGAATGAATTCCACATAAATTTTAAATTTTCTGTCACAAATATGCCACAATTGCACTATTGTACATCGTAACCTGCACAATTCACCAAGCTCCAGCTTCCTCAGTCTTAAAGTCAGGGATGCAAGGTTTTGGTGAACAAATGCTGACATACCTCTCGTAGCAGATATATTTAAAGTAGACAATCTATGCGTGAAGCTTCCCTGCTCATCCTCAAGGTATTTTCTGTTTTTTGAATCCAGGGCAGACTGATAGAACCAAACTGGTAGCTTCAGGAATCCCTGTGAGACAGAGTGGGTGTGAGAGCTCATGGAATACACAAAGAGAAAGCAAGCATAGGAAAGGAAGTATGGCAGCTTTTGAAGGAGTGGGACAAAGAGGGGGGGAAAAGGACTATGAACAAGAATGAAATGAGCGTATCGGTGGACATCAATATCTATTGCTCCAGATTCATCACAGTAACAAAAAATGAACAGTCCTGTTTTGTGACAAATTAAACAAAATGAGAGGAATAGCAGCAAGTCTATCAACTAATTTTGCATTACTGCAATACATGGATCAGATGCAGACAGCTGCAGGTCTCTCTGCCGCTCCGTGTATCCCACCGCCTCCCAAGGAGACATGAAAATGTCTTTGGCTAAATTTGATTAGCTAGAGCAGTCTATATCGAAGAACAAGGAATATTGAATTTACTCAAATCTAAGATCCTTTAATCCATCCATTTAAAAAGTAAAACCAAAATCAAGGTGTGCCTTGGAATCAATGGCACCTTAGAATTGCAATTGCTTCTCAAAACCATCTAAAATCTGCTTGCACCTCAGTTTCGAGTAAATACGCTCGTACTGAAACAATGGAAACTACACAGTTGTGGTTTCAAAATATTTGTTTCTGAAACGAGGAGGAGGGACATGGATAAATGGTACTGAAAGGATTGTTCTTTAAGAGCCAGCAGACACAATGGGCTGAATGGCCTTCTTCTGTGCTGCACATTTCTATGGTTCCAATGTATCTAGGTCTCTTTCATATTTGGCTACAGTTCCTCATGCTATACTCGCTTCCAACTGTAATTAAGATGCAGTCCAGCACTCAGTGCAGAACACTGCCATTTTTAAGCATGATTGTTTCCCTGATTTTGTGTTACAATAAAAATATTTTGATCAAAAAGGAATAATCCTATAAATAGGATCTAAACGCACCAATAGCTTTTATAAAGTACAATCTTGAAAGGGAAATGTTGGGCTAAATAGGTAGAACTTGGTCAGACTCTGGTTTTGTATGGGTACAAGTTTCCAGCTCCCCATCTGGCAATCTGATCAGGATCAGTGCTTTTTCCCTAAGTCCTGATAAGGATCAGTGCTTTTTCCCTGGATTTAACTAGTGATAGAATTATACCTTTGGTGGGAGTCGTCCCTCCATGATGAGGAGTGTCTCTCCAGTGCTGATCTTCAAGTCTGACAAGGAGGCTTCCTGCAAAGCAAGACACAAAGTAAAGAGCACGTCTATTCACTGTCCATTGCAAGGATCATTTCAACAAGCTGTAGCTCAGGGGTTAAAGCACTCGCCTCGCAAGCGAGAGGACCTGGTTTTGATTCCCAGGCAGAATGAAACATTGGGCAAGTTTCCTTACTCCACACGCCTCTGTTTACCTAGCAGTAAGAAAGAACCTGTTTTTTTGTGGGAAATAATCCCTTAAAAAAAATAAGTAATAATTTAGTCACTCAATCCACGACTGTTTGTGGGAGACTGCTGTGCGCAATTGGCTGCCGCCTTTCGTCCCATGCAATACAATACACTGTTAAGTGAACACAACTTTACAGTGTATTCTGTGAAGCACTTTGAGATGTTTTGAAGACTTGATAATGTGCTATATGAAATGCAAGGATTATTATAATTACTGATTTTTTTTTATAACACCTTATCATGTAAAGGCCAAAAAGGCCTTGGAGAGGGTGCAGAGGCAGATTTACCAGAATGGTACCAGGGATGAAAGACTTTAGTTATGTGGAGAGACTAGAAAAGCTGGGATTGTACTCCTCAGAAAAGGTTAAAGGGAGATTTAATAGAGGTGTTTAAAATTACGAGGTGGTTTAATAAAGGAGATAGGGAGAAACTGTCTCCACTGACAGGTGGGTCAGTAACCAGGGCACAAAGATTTAAGATAATTGGCAAAAGAACCAGAGGGGAGATGAGAANTTTTTTTACATATTAACACAGAGTTGTTACTGTCCTGAATGCACTGCCTGAAAGAGCAGTGGAAACAGATGCAACAACTTTCAAAAGGGAATTAGAAATTATCTAGACTGATTGGGTAGCTCTTCCAAAAAGCTGGCACAGGCACGATAGCCGAATGGCTTCCTTCTATGCTGTAATATTCTATGAATATTAGCAACAAATGGTCTCTTCATTTCTTCGTATGTGACACTAGTTCAATCTTCACACATCAGTGCTCTGAGATGCTACTCCAAGTGAAGGGCGCTATATAAACTTAAGTTGTTGTGGAGGTTGTAGTTACTGCATGAATTATTAGCTGAAAGAAACTGCATTAGGTTTGAAGGTGCATTAATCCCTCCTCCTCATCCAACGCATAACTGGACAACTCAGACAGGAGGAAGTTTCAATGTAAAATACTTACTGCCAATTATTCCTTACTCCTCCTTGTTAAAATGCTGTTACTGCATTGAAAAAGGGAATGTTTTTCATCTGAACTGACACCTAATGTTAACTTTATAAGAATCAGAAATAAGATGGAATTATATGATTTCACAAATCAACCATAATCTTTTCCTATATCCTATAATATTGAAAATCTCAACAAAACAATGTTTAAAAGAATGATTTGGGGTGTATAACTGAGAAGAACACATTAAATGTTTAAGTGAGCACATATCTATTTGGTTTCATTAACCCTATTGTGGATGATGAAAATGTCACCACTACTGTTCTGAACAGGCACCGCATTGCAAAGTGTAAGAAACGAGCACTTGTTTTCTCATCCAATTGCAGTGATGGTGTAGAGTACTCAGCTTTCACCTCATCCACTTACTTCGTCTATCAAAACTTCTCCAGCTTCGTAGCACCAGTCTGTTTTCCTCAAATGCCAACACTCACCTGTGGGAAATAAACACCACTGAATTTAATAGCACATGGTCAGCAGCACACTAGGATCAACAGCACCCCACTAACAGCCACCAGCAGTAATCCTTCATTTTACTTGATTTAGGTTTTAGACTCAGTTTTGCTGAATTTTCAGTTCGCAGAGGGTGATGAGAATGTGGAACTTATAGGAAGCAGTGGTTGAAACATCAATGCATTTAAGAGGAAAATTGACTCACACATTAAGTATACATGTGGAGTATATAGTTAAGTTTACAAACTAATATGGAGAAATTTAAGACAATTGGTGGTCCAACCTTTTGGCTGCCGAGGACCTATTTGAGAAACATCCGTGGGCCACAGAAGCAATATTTTGTGTTTCCCTTCCAGAAGCATAACATTTACACAGCACCTCTTTCACATTAGAAAGACAGCTTGACACTGTCGGCTGGGCACCTGAACTGGGGGTGGGAGCGGAGAGAGGTGGAATGGGATGGGGAAAATGATGACCAAAAGCGTGGTCTTGTTGTGCATTGAAAGAGGGAAGAGAGGGAGTTGGAGGGACTCCAGGAATGGAATTCCAGAGATCAGGGGGAACAGATGGGGTGGGAGGGGACATGAAGCAAGCTGGCATTTGCTCTGCAAAAGGAATGGCCAGGTTGAGAGGTTGCAGAGATACAGGGGGGAGGGCGGGAGGGAGTGTGGAATGAAGGGCGTAGAGCAGTATCTCACTGGGGAAAGAGGGAGCTTTCTGTGAGGAAACTGCAGGGCATGTTGTTCAGTGTTTGTCCTCGGTCCCCCCAGCAACAACAACAAGATTACATTTATAGAGCGCCTTTCACGTCGGGAGGACGTCCCAAGGCGCTGGACAGTTGGGTCTGGACTCAAGCAGAGGGAAATGGTCAGGGTGAGGGGAGGGAAAGGAGGGAGCGAGAAGTGGGGTAGAGAGTCGAGAGGGAAGGTGAAGGCACGGTTCAAGAGAAAGGTCTCGAGACCGGCCTTGAAGGAGGAAAGGGAGGAAGCAAGGCGAAGGCACTGGGAGATGGAGTTCCAGAGCCTAGGGGCTGAAAGCCCAGCCACCGATGGTAGGGCGGTTAGGGCGGGGGGTGTGGAGCAGACCGGAGCCAGAGGAACGGAGGGTACGGGCACGTAAGTAGGGGGATGGTAGGTTGGAGAGGTAGGAGGGAGCGAGGCCGTGAATGGCTTTGTAGGTGAGGATGAGGATCTTGAATTCGATCCTCTGGGGGATGGGGAGCCAGTGGAGGCGAGCGAGGGTGGGAGTGATGTGGTCGCGAAGCCTGGTGCGGGACAGTACACGAGCTGCAGAGTTCTGAATGACCTGCAGCTTGTGGAGGGAGGTGCCGGGAAGGCCGGCGAGGAGAGAGTTCCCATAGTCCAGCCTTGAGGTGATAAAGGCGTGGACCAGAGTTTCAGCAGCGTGAGGGGTGAGGTAGTGCCGTAGTCTGGCGATGTTCCGGAGGTGGTGGAAGGCGGTGCCAGTTGTGGTGCGGATGTGGGGAAGAAAGGACAGCTCAGGGTCGAACAGAACACCGAGGTTCCTGACTGGCTTTGAGAGGTGGAGAGTGCAGCCTTGGATGCTGATGCTGTCAGCGCCTGAGGTGCGGAGGCGCTGACGTGAGCCAATCAGGAGGGCCTCAGTTTTTTGCACGTTGAGCTGAAGAAAGTTGTCTCTCGTCCAGGACTCGATGTCGGACAGGCAGCTGTCAGGACATCGGTGGTCGTGGAGTTGAGGGTAGAGGAGGAAAGGTAGAGTTGGGTGTCATCCGCATACATGTGGAAGTTAACCCCATGTCTGCGGATGATGTCACCAAGGGGGAGCATATAGAGGGTGAAGAGGAGGGGACCGAGGACAGAGCCCTGAGGGACACCGCACGCGACAGTGCGGGGGCTGGAGGAAACGCCGTTAGTGGAAACAAAATGAAGACGGTGGGAGAGGTAGGACGTAAACCACTCAAGGACAGGGTCTTAAAGGTTGAGGTGGGAGGACAAGCGGTGGAGGAGGACAGAGTGGTCAACCGTATCGAATGCGGCTGATAGGTCGAGGAGGACTAGGAGGCAGAGGGAGCCCTGGTCGCAGATGGTCAAGATGTCATTAGTGACCTTGACCAGGGCGGTTTCTGTCCTATGGGCAGCACGGAAACCCGACTGGAGGGGTTCAAATAGTGAATGGGTGGAGAGGAAAGAGCGCAGCTGGGAGGCGACGACTCTTTCGAGAACCTTGGACAGGAAGGAGAGGTTGGAGATAGGCCGGTAGCTTCTCTCAGCGGCTGAGAGAAACTCCGATTGTCTGTCCTGACAGTGAACTACAAAAACTGCCCTCTCTCTCTTTGCTTCTCTCCCCTTCTCCCTCATATTCTCTCTCTACCCCCTATTTCTCAATTACCCTCTCACACTCCCACCTCCCCAATCACTTTCCCCGCCCCTCCTCTCTCTCACACACTCTTCCTCTCAATTACTCACTCCCCTTCTCTCGCAATTACTCTCACTCCCTCTCTCCCACACCTCTCTATCCCGTTTCTTTCTCTCCTCCTCTCCCTCATTCACTCCCTCCCACCTTATATTTTCTCTCTCTCAATTTCTCTCTGCTCTCTCCCCTCTCTCTCTCAAGTCTCCGTCTCTCTCTCCTATTTTCTTACCTCTCTCACACACACACACACAATCTCTCCTCTCTCCCCCTCTAACCCCCTTTTCTCTCCCACCATCGGCCTTTCCCCCCCCTCAATCATTCCCATTCTCAATCAGCCGTGCAGCAATCACTATCTGCAGCAGCAGGAGCCGATGGTTGCTAAGGACGCCATTGGTGAAAAACACGCTTGCCTTCCTGAAAGACTGCAATAACGGCTGGTATTATTTTGCCCTCTCCGCGCTGTATCCTCTCAACCGTCAGTTCCTGCTGCTGCCATGGGAGGACGTTCACCAGGGAGGGAGGGAGTGGAAACTGAAATGTTAGAAATGGTCTCGGGCCGGAAGCGGTCCATCAATTGGACCATCCAGTGTAAGTGAATGATACCTGCTGCAAAATGCATGTGTCAACATTCAGTTCTGATGGGATCAGACTGGAGGTGTTCTCCACAGCTAATTAGCCTGCCACCACTCAGTGTCTACAATCATCCATGAAGAATGGTCACTGGGATGAGGTCCATCAACTGAGACTTGATATATTTGTTACTGCAGCAGGAGATTGAGAAACCACCTGGGCAATTCAATACATTACACTGGTCGTGCTATTCAGTGGTAAATAACTGCCCTTGTACACCAGTCCCATTGCATGGGCTACCTACTGAAAGGTAATAGGGCACTGAGAGTTCTCTGCATTCTGACATACCTGATAAGGCTGCTTTCTCTAACATCAGCTTCAGGCACTGGAAAAACAAAAGGAAAAGACCAGGTTAAAGAAACCTGATACAATGCTCTGCCAGATAAGATTGGATAAGATGCTGTTTTCAGGAACAAAACCAAAGTGAGGCACTTTGTTGTCACAGCTCTCCAAATGCACCAATTTCCCCTCCAAGTCCACATGTGCATAACACCAGGGCACAGAAAAAAAATGTCCTATTCTTGGATTCATCCCTCCCTCACCATCAGATTCTGGATATCTGCATTGGTCAGTTAATAGCACTGTTCCTCTTGGTCTGAAAGTTCTGGGGTGAACATTGGGATTTGAACTCACAAATGAACTCATAGACTAGCCTGACACTCCAGTGTACTGTACTACACATTACAGTATGTATTGTGAAGCACTTTGAGACGTCTCAACGACACGATAAGGCGCTATATCAAATGCAAGGATATTATTATTTTTATTACTTTTATTAGAGTGCTGTACTCCTGTACATGCCATCCTTCAAATGAGATGTCAGACAATGCCTGTTCCAATGGTTTAGGTGAGCATCAAAATTATGAATATTTTGAAGAGGAGGCAATTCTAGTGTACTAGGCAGATGTTAAACCATCCAATCTGTTTGTTTTCAGGAGGACATTAAAGATACCAAGGTATTATTCAAATAGAGAAAGCAATTTCTTTCGGTGTCCAGGCTAACAATCCCCTAGGTTAATTGGTCATTTACTTGCCTCGTGGCTGTTCGTGACATCGCTTTGTTTGCCTACAAACATCACCACATGTGACAGGAATGTAGAGTATTTTCAGACATTTCAATGTTATATGGACTGTAAAAACACAAATTCTTGCTTCTTCCAATTTAAATTTAGACAGTCATCTTATTAATGTTTAGTGGGCATAGCCCCTTAAGGTTAGTTGCTACATTTGGAAGAATTTTCATTCTTTTGCCAAATAAAGTCCTGAAAATTGGTTATGATGTGAATGATTAATTTTTATCAGGAGAATCGTTGGCCACATCTGTTTACACACAGGGCAACAACAATTTATGTTGATATATGTCTTTCACATTGGAGGACATCTTGAAGTACTTTATAGCGGTCACTAAACTCAAAAGTAACCCAGAGCATGAAATCCTTTGGGATATTTTGATGTGATAAACTGCTAGATTAAATGCAAGTATTCTCATGCTTTAAATCTTAGTGTAGCCTTCAGTATGATCAACTGTTTTTGCACAGATGTATCATTCTGTGATGGATAGTGCAGCTACTCAATAAAGCTGAATATAATTAAGTTCAAGGAAACAATCACAAGGACAAAGCCACAGTGTACACATTGTATACATTTCTCCATAGATTACCTCTCTGACAGAAATCTTCTGTTCCACTACAACCTCCATTTCAGGGCTCAAGTTAGCACTATCACCAACAGCGAAATTCAAGTAAAGCTAGAAGAGAGAAAAAAAAATCTGTAAAAACTGTAATTCACTCATTTACCATTGAGGGCCACAAACCCAATGGAGTTGATAAAAGTGCTCATTGTTCATGAATGGTAGCATTCTGAGGCTTTGCTATTGAAAAGAGTGTCTGTACCTCCAGCAGGGAATCCCATGTATGTCATGCCAACAAATGATGTCGGCAATGACCAAAGAACCAAGGTCTCATATGGGTCGATGTCACATTTATGGACTCCCTTGCATGAAACCCACTTAATGCCTCGAAGTGCTTTTCCCAGTAGTGAAATACCAACAACGCAACCAATGTGTCCTGAGAAATGCTCTGGCAGCATCATATCACAAGTAGGAGGTCAATTCAAAAACAGTTTGCTTCTCATCCATTCAGAAACAACTTGCATTTATATAGCAATGCCTTTCATACAGAGTCGCATCTTGGAGCGCTTAACAGTGATGTGGTTCAACCTCGAGTTGGAAAGAGACTGTAAGTGACCAAAGGTTGAATAGGAAAGCCTTCAGATGAGATTTGAAAATTGGCAAAGAAGGGAAAAGACTGAGGTTTTGAAGCAAAAAGTACCAGAGATTCGGGGTTTAGTGGCTAAAAACAGCAGCGAATTTTGGAGCAAAGGGGACAAGGGAGGTGCAGAAGAATGCTTCAATACCCTGCTCTATGGAGTGAGATGTGACATGGGGAACATAGCAGAACAATTGTCAATTTAATCAATCCTTTTAGTAGGGCCCACTTGGCCTTATGGAAGCCAAGACAGTTTAGCCACATAAAAGTATTCTTTTAGAGAGTAAGAAGAAGAAAAGGAACAGTACTGATTTCAGCTTGGGTCAATATCCTACAGCTTTACAGGCTGTGAGAGGATGTCCAGCGGGATATGGATGAATTTCAATCGGTATTAAAAGATAGAATCCGGTTTTAGAGCTGCTTTAAATGCAGCTCCACAGGCCCTAATAGAGTTCCATTATACTTTGACTGAGAGAGTGAGTCAACAGAAGACATTGAGATACAACATTTGACATCACAGACTTTGATCTTGGTGGTAGCACATGATGAAGATTTCCCTGAGTGAGAACATGCTCATGGAAGTGATACATGTGAATAGAAGAAACTGTGAAGCAAAGTGCATCAACAAGTACAGGACACAGGCTTGGCCTCTCCTCGTACCTGACTGTCAGTTGGGGCATTGCCGGAGCAAAGTGCCAAGAAGCTTCCTGTCTTCAGTCCAGTGTCCCTTAAGGTTAAATCCTCTCGTACTGTAAATAAAAAGGGAAGAATGAGCCAGGATAAAAGAAGCCGTGTGAGTAGCTGTACTGTACACATTGCTGAAAAATGGAGTGGGAATTGAATGGGCAGGAATCATTATTCAGAGACTAGGTCTCTCAGATCACTGCACTAGACCTGCGCTGTCTGCACTAACTACAGTAGAAACCCGGTTTGCCATCACCTCGGTAATCCACCCACCTCACAATTGTGGGCACATTTTCACAGTCTCTTTCATTGTCACTGTTAAAAGATAGTCTGTCTGCTTCACCTCACTATTCAGGTCAACAGTTATTGATTGCAGCCGCTACAGCGCCCTCCTCCTCTACAAACGCGGTACACAAACCCCCCTCCACTTGTATCCTGTATGCAGTGCGCTAGCCTAACCCTAACCCTCGAGTTTCTTGCGCCGCTTCCTTGATGCTGCTACTGTGAGCGGAGTGGGCTCCGGTCCCATTCGCGAAGCGCGGGGAATGTTGGGATCGCGGAAGCGTCACGAGTGGAAAATCGACAGCACCCGGCGCCCACGGCCTAAACCTGGGCTCCTGCGGCCAATTCTTGGTTAGAGCTGTAAACATGCCACCACGGAAGGAGTTGTCCTTACGTGAGAGATTGGACTTAATTAAAAACAGTGAGGGCAAAAGTCATAGACTGTTAGCTGTGATCTATGGCATTGACAGAACACAAGTTGGATGCATTCTCAAAAGGAAGGCTGAATACATGTCGGCTTTTGTTTTACAACAACAAAATTACATTTCTATAGTGTCTTTCACGTCGGGAGGATCTCCCAAGGCGCTGGACAGACAAGAGTTTCGGACCTGAGCTGGGGGTCGGGGAGTGTGGAGGGCAGGGGGATCAAAAACACAGTCGAAGAGGAGGGTCTTAAGATGAATCTTGAAGGAGGCAAGGGAGGGGTGAGGCGGAGGGAGTGTGAAATGGAGTTCCAGAGGGTGGGGGCAGAGGTGGCAAAAGGCCCGCCCACCAATAGTGGGGCGAGCGAGGCAGGGGACGTGAAGTAGGCCAGAGCCCGCTGAGTGGAGGGAGCGAGCAGGATGGTAGGGAGTTATGAGGTCGCAGATGTAGGGAGGAGCAAGACCATGGAGGGCTTTAAATGTGACAATGCCTTTATTTTAATAAGATTGCAAAGTATGGTTGTTGAATGTTCATCACCCTTGCCCATTACCAATGCCCTTAACATTACATCAGTGATCTGAATCACCCGACCTGTTTCAGTAATCAGGTCACCTCACTAAGTAGGTCACTTTTGCCCAGTCCCTTGAGTGACCGGATTAGTGAGGTTCTACTAACCTGGAGGAAGGAGTTTCCCTGTTTGGTCAGTTGGTCTCAAACAGTTATCGTTTGCTGCAAAATATAAGAAACACAAATTAGCGAGACAAGAATCCAAAAGTTATCAGCAAACAAACAGCAAAACAAATTGTTGCCTGTTATATAATACTTCTGTTTAACCTTCATTTTCGGTGTTCATTTGCAACAGAAAAATGAGCTGGGTTCAAAGGAAAATGGATATACCAATAGTGGCACAATTAAACTGCTATTAATGAGATACAATATCACTTCGTGTCCATTTGTACCAGACGGGTTTTTGTAAAGTCGGAGACTGAATATATAAATAAGACAGAGGATCATTCATATCCTGATTAATCTGGATCAATACGGAAATTGTGTAGTATTATAAGTACATTGACATTAATTATTTATTAATCCTAGATACTTCACAATGGGCCATGTTCCATTTAATATTGTGTGTGTGTAAGTGAGAGAGAGAGAGAGAGAGACAGAGATTGATGTACCACAAACTGGTGTGTACTGTACCTAGATCCTCTTTCAGTTTAAGCTTTTCAATGGCACAAACTTTGATTTCTGAAACCAGCTAGAAGAAAAAAAACGACCCAGACCAGTGTTTAAACAGGTAATTCACATATAGGAAACACATAGCTTAGCACCATTATACTTCAAACAGGGCAAAAATAAAGGAAATACGAAAAATATCATTCCATTTCATACAAGGTGGGCTAAAAGAGAACAGCAGGATTGTTTCATTACTATTTAAATACAAATAAAGGAAACATACAGCGTGCCATTACATTTCATACAAGATGAAAGGAGTCATCAATACATTATATATACAGTCTGAACAAAAACACCAACATCTATCATTACATTTCATACAATACTGACTGAAAGCAAATTAAAGGTGCAATATCACATTCCATATTAAGCAGAGTCCACTTTATTATTACTTATTTTACCTTGCACTAGTTTGGTAAAAAGTGGAATTAATAAAAAAGTTACAAGTTGCATAGGCTAGACACTCATTTACTGGAACTGCTGCACTGCACACTAGTTGAAACTAGTTCAAGAAAATTAATGGGGGAAAAAAGCACCAGGTTTGGAAATGTTTCGCACAAATGCAAGACCACCTCTTCCCAGTCGCCTCATTAACAGCACAATGAAGTGCACTTGTGCCCCTAGTAGCTTTGGCCTAAGAGCTAAGAGGACCAAGTATTAACGTCAAATTCGGCAACCATTGCAATGCAAGAGCCAGATCCTTTGAAGGGGCTACACGTTTAAGGAGTGACAATCCTATGCTACAAAATTCTACCTGAAGGGTTGTCCACAAATGTTAAACCTATTGTTCTCTTCCCAGGTTGACTGACTTTCTGTGGATTTCTTTTCTCCCTGGTTTTGCTGGGCTATGTACTGATTAACTGACTGAAGTATACAACAACTACAACTTGCGTTTATATAGCATGCTTCACGTAGGGTAGCATCCTGGTGCGCTTGATAGTGGCGGAGTCTGATCCCGAACCAGGGGGAGATGTCTATAAGCACGTTCAAAAATGATTTGAAAGTGGGAAAGGCGGAAAGATTGAGGGAGAGAGACCCAGAGGTTCGTGGCATAATGGCTGAAGGCACAGCCACTGATGGTAGAGCGGAGGGAACGAGGGACAAACAGGAGGCCGGAGGCAGCGGGTGGTGGAGTAGGGACTAAGCAGATTTGATAGGTAGGGAGGTGCCAGGACATGAAGGGATTTGAAAACGACTGAGAGAATCTTGAAATCAATGCATTCTGTAATTGGGAGCCAGTGGAGCCTGGCAAGGATTGGTGTAATAGGGGTATGGAGTTTTGTGCGGGTGAGTATCCGAATGGCTGAGATTTGGGTACCAGAAGATCATGAGTGCAGAGCTTGAGGGAGCAATGCCTCCCAACGTCCGCAGTTACTAACACTATTTTAATACTCTCTTTAGTTTCAATGTAAGAGATAAATAGAATTCCTTTCTTATTCATGTGGGTACTATTTCAACATGCAGTGCTAAACTAAGCACCTGCAATGCTAACAGCTACTCACCATCTCCATGGTAACCGGAATGGTTACCGTGGTCCCCTCCACTTGCGTCATTTTCTTACTACAGTAATTCTTGACTTGCACCCAGCTGTGATCACCCAGTGTTGCTACAGTGACTGGCATACCATTGGAAGATAGTACACTGTAGAAGGCGACAAGAAACAGGAAGATTTGAAATAAAGTATTACGTTTCTCATTTATTTTTAACATTCAAAGACCGTCTCTTTTACTAATTTCCTTATTTCTTCAAGTATCTGTGCACAAGTATCATCATATTTATTACAATTTGATGAACTGGAATTTATCACATCCTAAACTCTAAAATAGCCATTTTTTCCAACTTCTTTTAATGAGATCCCACTAGAAAGATGGAGGGAAAAGATTAGTATTTTAAGTAAAAGGCTTATGCAGACCCCACTGTGCACTTGTTAATCATCCAACTTTCCAATTCCCAAATTAGCACATTTTCTGGACAGCTTCTAAGCTCACTGAATAATTCACCTTTGATCCTCTCTGGCTCAATACCTATTTGCATTCACAGCGAATCAAGAATGAAGCCCCATACTTTGTTCCTGACTATCTCTAATGATGATAATTCTGTTCCTTCAATCGGTCTGGCTCAGTGACTCTTCCCAGGTGAATCACCAATGCTGTAATAAACAGCAATAGATGGCTGGAGGAAACACAAGATAAAAGCTAATAATTTTTAAAAAGCACAATATTTTGATGTTAAAGTCTCCCCTTTCAGAATAACAAGCAGAAGATCAACTTTTGATAGTAATACAATAATCCTCGCATTTGATGTAGCACCTTATCACATCTTTTGAGTTGTCTCAAAGCGCTTCACAGAATATATTGTAAAGTGGAAGGCAAAATACTGCAGATACTGGAAATCTGAAATAAAAACAGAAGTCACTGGGAACACATGGTAGGTCAGGCAGCATCTATGGAAAGGTCATCGACCTGAAACGTTAACTAATTTTCCTCTTTCCACAAATGCTGTGTGTTCCCAGCGACTTCCGTTTTTATATTGTAAAGTGGATTGACTATGTATTTGTGGACAATCTCCTACCTCAGGTCACAGTACTTTTGGTCTAAGATTAGCACAGAGTCGTTGTCTTTCAGACTCAGCTCTTCAAGAGTCTTGTTCAAGTCTTCAGTGGGATATGCACTCCAGTTCCAAGATGCTTTATTTTTCAATGTTTTCCTGTGGCAGACTGTGAGATCCTCTGGTGGGATGCCCGTTGATAGAAGTACAGTCTCTTGCAGAGAACTCAGTGTTGTCCTCCGAGGAAATGCCTTTCGCAATTCTGTAAACTCCACTTCCCCAGAGTCCAATTTGCTCCTCAATGTAGAAAGCAAGATTTGAAGCAGCACAGGTTCAAGCTCCTGTCCTGCTTTTACGTCCACTCCACGGACCTAACAACAGAACAGTGAATATTACCATCTGCAGTGTGAACTCTGTGTGTGTGGTGTGTGTATGTGTGAGCGTTGATGAACAAGGAAGCTCTTAAAAACATTCTGTCCTTTCCTGCACTGAGAAGATGAGAAAGCTATCAGCTTGAAGCTCTCGGTGAATTGCACTCTGTAACCAGGTGCTGGAAGAGGAGGGACAGTGACCCAAGTGTCACTCACTGTTCAAATCTCACCTGTGCAAAGTCTTGGTATTTGGCATGATCACAAGCCAGGGCAAACGAGTGCAGGGCACTACCACCGGAAATGACTGGTATAAAAATGTGCACTGCAAAGCAGAACATCTCAATGACTCCCATAACTTCTACATAACTTCTCCACGTCCAGTCTGGGTGCTACAGTCTGGGTGCTACCTGTGCTATGCTGTGGGCAGCCGGCTTCACTTCTATTTGGAGGTAAGCATGAAACCCTTTGAAATTGGAAAGGTACGAGAGCGGGAGAGTTATCATCTTTGTGGATATGGTTGTGACTATGAAAGGGATGCGGCTCTTATAGAAACTAGGCTAAAGAAAAAGGTGAAATATTAGAACTTACCTGGTTACCATTCCACACAAAGAGAATGGCTCCATCTGTAATCTCCAGACTGCACAGCGAGGCCTGATCCTCTGGGTAAAAAGAGAAGACTGTAGTCAATGCGTAAATTGGAATATAATAAAATCTTAGGAACCTTCACAGGGTAATAAGGTACTGACATGAAAAACTATTGCGTGTTTATCCAACACTGAACAGTGATCCTGAGGCAAGTGTTAACCTAAGTTAATTTAAATTCATGGAAATAACTTATGTGACAGCTTTATTCATACAATGTAGACCATCAATAGATACTTGTATTGTACCATGTAGCAGTTAAAATAGGGACCACAAGACCACATTACCCCTCACACGATGCCATATCATGTTACTTAACGCACCACTGACTGCATTATTACCCATACAACAGCATTGTTAACCTCAATCATGAGTTCTTGAAAACAGCTATAATAATAATTCTCCCCGCTCTAACTAGTGGATAAGTGAACCAAGCTGTATAAGGAGATTGAGATTATAAAGGCATAAGTATAGCTTTCACAAAACCTTTGTGCGGTGTGACAGCTCCCTCCAGAGCTGATGATCATAGGAAGATTCTGCCCAAAAGAGCAACTGTTCAAGTCACAATGTTAGATATCTTCAGTCAATCGCTTTGGAGGGCAAAGAACCTCAGGAGATGAAATAAATTCAGTAATATCTATGATGGTGGAAATTATATTAGGTGTGCGAATGGAATAGACATTTGGGATTATTCTAATACCGTCCAACCAACAGCCAGCTACTTTGGCCAACACAATGCAATGATCAAGAGAACGTCTGCCACAAATTCTGGCTTACCATCGAGTCTCTCGTAGAGATGAAGGCCGGCTGGTATTGCTTTGCAATATGGATTACCATATCACCTTCCCAGAACTCTAGCAGCTGCAATCAGAAATACAGTCACACTGTCAAGATGGCAGAGCACCCTGCTCATATCAAAAAGTAGCCCAATGTGTCTATATGTAATTATAGATACACTGGGCTACATTTTGGTAAGACTGTTAAGACAGGTATTCTGCAGCAGACTGGTATTGGAAGACCAGTGAAAGAGCAGCCAGCTAGTGCCAGGCAAGCAAATGCCTAATAATTGATGAACTGAAAACTTTTAGGGAATACAATATTTGTATTGTAGCCCAATACAAAATGTAGAGTCCTGCAGCTCAGTGGTTTGAGCACTCGCCTCGCAAGCGAGAGACCTGGGTTCAATTCCCGGCAGGGCGAAATCTTGGGCAAGTTTCCTTACTCCACACTCCCGATAATAATCCCTCAAGAAAAAAATAATAAAAAATTGGTCATTTCAATCCACGACTGTTTGTGGGACACTGCTGTGCGCAATTGGCTGCCACGTTTCACCCACAAACACAATATATTCTGTGAAGCGTTTGAGACATCTAGAAGACATGAAAAGCGCTATAACAAATGAAAGGATTATTATTATTATTTCCGCCCCCAGTATTAACATTATCATTTCCAGTGTGCAGTACATTTACCAACCTTTGTGGCATGTGCCTACAATGGGAATTCACTGAATATACCAAGTGTAGTAAATTAACTGAAACAAAGATTGTCATTTTGCTGTTAGAATTGAATATATGAATACATATTCTATATACTTTCAATAGAATTTCTATAATGGGTGGAATTGTACAGTTGATTCCATATATTTAGAGTACAATTCCCGCTGCTTGTACTGCAGACCCACCCGACTCAGGAACCGAACTACCACAATCATCACAGATTTGACTGTGGCATATGGTTGCCGCATACTGCAACTTGGAGCCAGCTCAGCTCCAAGCCCCTGCTAACCTACCTTTGCCCTAGAGGAAAATCTAGGTCTAAATTGACACTCCCAATTTAGTGCTGCAGAGGTGTTGCATTGTTCGGAATTGCAGTCCTTCATAGGAGACATTAATCCAAAGTCACATCTGCTTGTTCGGATGAAAGTTAAAGACTCCATGGCACTATAAAAGTGAAGGGAATTTCTCCCTTTGTCCTGGCCAACAATTCCCAAATAAAATTGGTCTTTTGTTATATGTTCTCCCGACGTGAAAAGCGCTATATCAAATGCAAGGATTATTATTATGGCTGTTCGTGGGAGCTTGAATGTAACGCAAGGATTATTATGGTATTTTTAAATAAATGTTAGAAGAGTTCTAAATTTTCTCTCCACTTCTACTGTTGTTCTCCCCTCTCCCCTTTCAACCCAATTAAAAATACACAACTTCACATCAGCAGGCACTTAGGCTCAATAATGTCCTCCTTCCACTCAGGTCCTACAGTGAACCATTCAATATTCTACATACCTGAAAAGCTGACTGCCTGAGGTCCCCTATAGTTTTCCTTCTATCAATGGTTAGAGTCAGCACGCTGTCCTTCTGGGAAGAAGCTGGGTGTAGAGCACCATTAACAAACGTATACTCTGGACCCAAGTGAAGATGGACTTCAATGTTATTGACGGCAGAATCAAACTCCATCCTGGGTTTGGTGGAAAAATAAAATTAACAATTTTAAAAGTGATAATTCTGAACTAATCCTATGATGCGAGGAGGGTGAGAGAACTTTCCACTGTGGCAATGCGATTATGACAGGATGGGATTTCGTATCAAGCCACAAAAGCCATCAGAGAAATCATTCAGCTTGCCAGGACTTCAGGAGAATCAGAATTCTACCTTTAAAAAGGTCAATTTTTTTAAAAAAACATTTACATTGGGTATTAGTCAGTTCTGTGTGCGCCATGTAGCACATTAATGGATATCTGCTAATTGTCATTCTTCTATATGTGGTGAATTCTCCCTACTTGCTTTTAAAGAACTATTCCTGTAACTGTGGAGTCCTGTAGCTCAGTGGTTAGAGCACTTGCCTTGCAAGCGAGACACCTGGGTTCAATTCCAGGCAGGGCAAAACCTTGGGCAAGTTTCCTTACTCCACACGCCTAATGATAATCCCTCCAAAACAAAACAATAATAAATTGGTCATTTTCAATCTAAGACTGTTTGTGGGACGCTGCTGTGCGCAATTGGCTGCTGCATTTCGCCCACAAATATACAGTCAATTCACTTTGCAGTCTATTCTGTGAAGCGCTTTGAGACGTCGAGAAGACGTGAAAAGCACTATATCAAACGCAAGGATTATTATTATTATTATTCATTCAACTTAAAGTAAAATTTAGTTTATATATCTTTAATGTCTTGCTATTTCAGACTTCTGAAACTGCTTTGAGTTATTTATAAACACAAAAGGATAAATTAATGGAGCTTACCGAAAGGGAGAAAAGCACTTAGTTCAAATCAATAAATGCTATTCTGAGTGCAAGGAGCAGAACTGCAACACACAGTAACAAGTGACCTCTATGAACTCATAGTTTAGGCTGACAATCTAGTGCAGTGCTAGGATAGCACTGCATTGTCAGAGATGCTGTCCTTCAGATAAATGTTGAAAGAAAGTGCTGTCTGCCTGTTCAGGTGGACATTAAAGATGCCATTGCACTATTCAAAATGAGATGGGAGTTTCCCCTCTCATTGTGCTCATCTGTCATTTCTGCCCCCCAATTCCCCCATCTTCAGGGTTTCCCTCTGCGCTTAGTGAAGTATTTCCTACTTTGAATAGTTTTTATAATGATGTATTGCAGATGATTGTTCTTTTAGAGCATTCATTTTACTCTTGCAAAACATCTGGAAAGAGTTCAGTTTTTTTAAAAATGCATATTACACATCATTTTTTATCACAAGCTTTCTCATACAAAAAGTACCTTTGCTTCTTGAGCTCGGCATCGTAGTTGGCCATCTCCTCCTGTAGGTGAAGAGGAACTTTGTATCTTGGGTTTCCTTTAGCTGCAGGACAATAGAATAACAAAAATGTCTTCAAACAAGTGAGCCTTGATGTGCCACCAGGTGACACATCAACATGAGCTGACAAGCAAGTAGAATAAAACTAATGGCAAGGTAGCAGAGTGCATTTCAATAGGGTGAGGGAACAAATTTCCAAATTAAGTATTGGATTAATAGAATTTCACTGTATAACAGATTATAATAACCAGAATTTCTCATTAACTTAAAATTCACTTGATGGACTCACAGAACAAAGACTCTCCCATCATTCCACAAACCCTGTGTAATTCTAACCCTTGCTTTACCCGCTGATGTTCGTTGTAAGTGCGACTTTCTATAAAACAGCATGTATGCACTCTCTTTGCCCTGAAACTGCTTCTCAATATTCTTCTCGTGGATTGGCCGGACTTGGGAATCATCAAAATTAAACCAGCGTATATCAGGACTGCACGACTGGGCAGAGCCGTTTGCTGGTGTTTTCTTGGCTTTGGATTTGTTGGATTGTTGTTCTGGGCAGCAGTTGGCAGGCTGCTTTACAGAAACCCGGGTCCCGTCTGACTTCAAGAGAAACACAGCTGGATGGCTTTCCAGAAACTGAAACCAAAATGGGAAAGAAACCATGTATCAGAATGGGAATTCAAAAGTGAAGTATAGACAGTGTTCTTTGAACAGCTGCTTCTAAAACACCAGGATGTCAATCTCAGATTACAATCTGAATTGTTTAATCATTATTATCTGCGTTCACAGTCTCCCCATGGTCTGCCGGGACTTGCTCTCCATTTACCTCTGCCCATCAGATCTGAAAGGCAGTTTAGCACAGACCAGGTTTTGACAAGCCACTCTCAAGACACACTGTCGCTCTTTGGTTTACTTATAGCCTGGGCCAATAGAAAAGTGTGGAAATATTTGTCCAAAATTGCAGGGAGGTTTGCAACTTTCACAGAAAATTGCAGAGTAATTTTTGCAGAAAATTGAGGGGATTTGAATGGTGCTACTGAGGTACATTTTACTGCCTACATTTTTTCACTTTATTGATAACAACTAAACATGAGGAAATAACACAATAGATTGTTGCAAAAAATATATAAATTGCTTCTTTTCAAAAGAACTGGGTGCCTCTTTTTTTGTGTGGGGGAGGACAGGGGGGACACCAGCGAGGCTACAGGCGCTCACCACCTCCTGCCTCTCAGGGTCCGGCACTGCACAGACACAGAGTGAGGGAGACACACACACACAGCGATACACATATATATTCTCAGATACTCATAAACATACATATAGAAGAGACACACGCAGACCCACTCACAAACAGATACACATGCAGAGGAGGCACACACACTCATATACACTCAAACTCACACACATACAAACACTCACAAATAGAAAGACGCTCATATAGACACTCACAAACACAGAGTCACACACTCAGACACTCAAAAACAGAGACATACACTCACATAGACACTCACAAACTGACATGCACACACACAGGCAGCGATAGACACACACAGGCAGCGATAGACACACACAGGCAGCGATAGACACACACAGGCAGCGATAGACACACACAGGCAGCGATAGACACACACAGGCAGCGATAGACACACACAGGCAGCGATAGACACACACAGGCAGCGATAGACACACACAGGCAGCGATAGACACACACAGGCAGCGATAGACACACACAGGCAGCGATAGACACACACAGGCAGCAATAGACACACACAGGCAGCAATAGACACACACAGACAATCACAACAGCAGGACCGTCAAGTGAAGCTCATTTGCTGCTCTGGCGTCCGGATCTGTCCCGCCCACATTGACGTCAGGTAAACAGCGAGAGGCCCACGGGCCAGAAACTGCATTTAACGTGGGTTTGTTGCAGAGGAGGGCATTTGTAGTGGATTCCAAGGAAAAATGGGCAGCCACATTTTTTCTACTGGCCCAGCTTATAACCATAAAAATTTACTAACTTCCTGCTCTACAGATTTTAAACCTTTTTTAATGTACGTTAGAAAATATTTCTCTCTAACATTTCTGAAACTCAGAGATCTTCACCCCCTCCACTCAACTCTCTACCCCCTCCTCGCTCCCTCCCTTCCCTCTCCTCACCCTGACCATTTCCCCCCTGCTCGGGTCCCGACCCAACTGTCCAGCGCCTTGGGACGTCCTCCCGACGTGAAAGGCACTCTGTAAATGCAATCTTGTTGTTGTTGTTCAAGAGGCAGCCTATGATAAAAAGATAACAGTACAGAAGAAAGCTACCCGCACCATTGAGCTGGTACTAACTTCGCTTCTGACCCCAATTTCGCAGACATCTTAATGTTGCTCTGTGACATAAATTAGTTTAATAACAATTGTTTACTTATTTTATTCCCTACCTTCTTTATTGGCCCGTGCTGCTTGCGGTACCTTTTGTTCCAAGCAAAACCAACTTTCTCCAGCAGTTTCTGGCCCAGCTGGTCCACCAGTAAGCCATCAGGTCCCACCTGAATGTATGTGAGCATGTTTTGAGGGGAGGGGAGCAGAGAGAGGGGAAAGAGAAAAAAAACACTATTGTTGCATCTGTATTATTCACTAATTTAGTGCATCATCTTCTGGCTGTAAAGTGCGCACCAGGATCAGCAATCCTGTCCAACTTAATGGATAAATGTTCCCTAGAGAGGGCATTATGATTAACTCAACATCTATTACTACAGGAAATGCATTATATTTCACATAACAGGTACATCAAGCAAGTTACAGACTCCGTAATAGCTTAGTGGGTAAAGGCATTGACAATGACAATACAGTCTTGAAGATTCTAGACTCAATTCACCATTTGCACTGAGTTAGCAGATATGGCTTCATTTCATCTGAAAGCAGCAAATGTGTCCTTTCCTGAATGTTATCCCTGCTGGAAGTGTGTGGGTGGTGTGCCTAAACAGGCTCAGCTGTGAAACTCTCCTGAAGTTGAATGCTGATAACTGTTGCCCAGATTCACTCATAAAAATCAGCCACTTATACAGTAATCCTAGCATGTAATATGGTCTCTTCTCACATCAAATTGTCTCAAAGCACTTCAGGGATTACATTAATCATGTCCAGGCTAGATTATGCCAACTCTTTGCTCACCGCATTTCCCAACCGTTTCCTCCAACCAGAACCATCAAGGATGGCTTTTGTCCTCTTCCCAGCAGGCACCACAAGTTCATCACCCCATCCTCACCCGGCTCCACATCCTCAATAGGACAGAGTTCAAGATTCTCATCCTCACTTTGAAATTGCTCCACGGTCTTCCCCCACCCTACCTCTGCAAGCTGCTTGAACCCTACCAACCTGCTGCTCCCTCATCTTGGCAGGCACTAGCCTACTTCACATTCCCCCATGCCCGTCCCACCATCGGCTATCAAACTTTCGGTGCATACAGTGGAGTCCTGTAGCTCAGTGGTTAGAGCACTCGCTTTGCAAGTGAGAGACCTGAGTTCAATTCCAGGCAGAGGGCGAAACCTTGGGCAAGTTTCCTTACTCCACACAGAGCCTAATAATAATCCCTTCAAAAACCAAAAACAATAATGAATTGGTCATTTTCAATCTACGACTGTTTGTGGGACATTGCTGTGCGCAATTGGCTGCCGCGTTCGCCCACAAATATACAGTCAATTCACTTTGCAGTATGTTCTGTGAAGCGCTTTGGGACGTCCTCCCGACATGAAAAGCGCTATATCAAATGCAAGGATTATTATTATTATTATTATCTACCCTCACTTTCTGGAACTCCATGAGAGGCCCTTTTGCTTCCCTTGCCTCCTTCAATTCTGTCTCAAGACCTACCTCTTTGACCGCCTCTTTGGTCATCTTCACCTCTACCTATCGCAACCCCCTGGAACCATCCCACTCCACAAATCCACCCACTAGCTTGAGTGCAAAATCCTTGTTTGTCCAGCATCTTAGGACATCCTCCCAACGTGAAAGGAACTATATAAATGCAATTTGTTGTTGCTGTAAAGTGAAAGCAGTGACTGTATTTGTCACAAACATGGCAGCCTATTTCTACACAGCATTGTCCCACAAATAAACCTTGAAGTAAATAACCAATTTCTTTAATCTGGTGAATTACTGATCAGGATACTGGAAGAAATTCCATTCTCTTTTCAAATTGTGGCATGTGATATTCAATTCCCTATCTTAACAGGGAGTGCAAACTCAATTTAACCTCTCAAAGACAGCACCCCCAACAGTTCAATGTAACAGAGTTTGATCCTAGATTATGAGTTTAAAATCCCGGCGTGGGATTTGACTCAGAGGTGAGAGTGCTGGCTATTGATACATTGAGTTGCCAACCCTGTGAACAGTGCCACATCAAGAGTCAGCAGCACCTTCAAGAGGGACGAAAGTTAGCAAAAAAAATGAACGAGAAAAGATTAAACAGGCCTGTTGCTTCTACAGATCATGCACAATTTGCTTTATATTCAAGCTACTTAAATCCACTGAGGAAGGATTCTGAAGAGCCAAGTGAATTTGGGGTAAAGTTGTAAATAGGTTGCCATGGTCACATCTTGGACTATTATGATGAATCCACTGGCACCTACTGATGAGGAAGTGGGCAGAGCAGCAAATCATGGACAGGGGAAAGATGATGCAGGAGTATACTATGATTAATACTGTACCTGCACTAGTATAGCTCTCAAGGTTTCCAGGGGATCTCTCAAATCCAGAACATTGCTGGTTCTGCATCCTTGTATGCTTGTTGTATTCTTTGTTGTGTCAACCACCACAGTGTCTTCATCCTGATAAAAATAGCACAGAGTGTTGCACATGTTCAGACAGACATATACACTCCCTGTGGCAGGAAATTGGCAAAAAGTATTGGTCAAGCATGAATAAGAGACGAGGGTTACACACTCCAGTAGATCATAATGGTAGGGCATAGGAGCAAATTACAGAGCTTAACATTTGCATAAGGTTTATAATATTCTGAACCCTAAGAGTACTTTTAAAGCTTATCTAAACTGTTTATTAAACAATACCCACTACTTGGCCTAGAACATACATGGACTGAAGAAAAATATCCTACGTTTACTAAAACAAGAGTCTCAATCACAAGTTCATGAGAGGTTTGAATGAAGGCATATTTGATCTGATCTTTCGAAAGAGAAATTAGCCGTTTTATATTATATTACACACAGGAGAAAACCAGGTCCCCAGTTGGTCAATATCTTTGATGTATGCATGGTAATGTCCACCATAGCAGCCTCCTTTGTGTATAATGACAGAAAACAGCTCATACTCGAATTCCACATCCTCCAAGTCACCCTGCAGAACAGACAAGAAGAGATCTCCATCAGCAGATGTTGCTTCACTTCAGACCATCACTTTAAGCCATAACCGTGTAAGGCAAGATAATTTTCTTTTCTTTCCAATTCCACAATAAATTACCTAATTGGAGACCTCCAGTGTAAATTTTAGAGCGGAAATATCCCTTCTAGCACAATTCTCACAAAAAACAATATTTTCCACTGGCCTAAGAGCAGCCACATAAAAACACAGATAAATGGCTATTGCACAAGCTCAGATTCTCAACTTTGGTTTCTACATTAGGAGTTTGCTGGAGGGGAAGCATCATTCTCTGTACAAGTCACAAACATTCTTCATACTGATCACATTTGTTCTTAAAACCAGTGCAAAACGTGGGCTAAAAACAAGATAATAATAATAATAATAATCCTTGCATTTGATATAGCGCTTTTCACGTCGGGAGGACGTCCCAAAGCGCTTCACAGAATATACTGTAAAGTGAATTAACTATATATTTGTGGGTGAACGCGGCAGCCAATTGCGCACAGCAATGTCCCACAAACAGTCGTAGATTGAAAATGACCAATTTATTATTGTTTTTGGTTTTGGAGGGATTATTATTAGGCTCTGTGTGGAGTAAGGAAACTTGCCCAAGGTTTCGCCCTCTGCCTGGAATTGAACTCAGGTCTCTCACTTGCAAAGCGAGTACTCTAACCACTGAGCTACAGGACTCCACAAGATAATAGAGGAGAAAGTTCTACCTAAGGTGATGTTCGGCAGTGATATGAAAACCATAATTGCTAAAGTTCTTTTTAGCAATACAATTACAGTTTAAACATTTTGCCTCATTTACTGGTCAAAGTATTAACCGGGTACCAGAGGCTTGTGCGGCAACTACCGTATTTATTTCCATTATTCCAGAGAAACCTGTGGCTATCATTTCCACGATACCATTTTCTTTGCTCTCCCTCACCTGGGAAAGCTTTCCCCTCTCTCTGATTTACATTATTAAGTAAACCATTTGTACGGGAATCTGACCACTTTTATGGTGCTCACCTATTGTTCTTTCATCAAGCTGAGCAACTGAATGCTTACACTTTCTCAGTAACCAATTAGAAGATTTTCTCGCCACCTCATGCTCTCTGATACCGGTTTGACCCCCAGCTGTCCTTCGTTCCCCACATCCGGTCCCTGACCAGAACCGCCTTCTTCCAGCTCTGCCACATTGCCCACCGATCATACCTTACCCCAAATACAGCCAAAACCCTCGATTACGCCTTCGGCCACCCTCCTACCCTCCATGATCCCAACTCCCCTGCTCGGGTCCAAATCCCTGACTGTCCAGCGCCTTCCCAACGTGAAAGGCGCTGTACACACATAATTTTGGTTTTGTATTGTAACACACAGGAAATTACCCATACCTGCTCCATTGGCACTTCAAAACGTTGGTCAGGGCTTGCATTTTAGATTTTACAGAATAAAACAGCACCCAAAGAAAACACGACATACTTCTGAATCATATTTACACAAAATAAGTGGAAATTACAATCTATATTTTCAAGTATATCAAGGCTTGTGGGACATTGCTGTGCATAATTGGCTGCTGCGTTTTATCCATAAAATACAGTCTTCTGTGAAGTGCTTTGAGACCTCTCGACGTGACAAGAAGCTAGATCAAATGCAAGGTTTATTATTAACATTTTGTACTTATTCTCATTTCTCACCTATTGTGGAATTCTGCAGCTTAGTGTAGCTCTACTGACTGTCCATTGCAAGGATCATTTCAACATGCTGTAGCTTAGTGGTTAGAGCACTCGCCTCGCAAGCGAGAGGACCTGGGTTCGATTCCCGGGCAAGGCAAAACGTTGGGCAAGTTTCCTTACTCTACATGCCTCTGTTTACCAAGCAGTAAGTAAGAACCCGGTTGTTAGTCGATTGGTGGCTCACTTTTCCAGGGGTAATAATCCCTTTTAAAAAGAAATAATTTGGTCACTCAATCCACTACTGTTTGTGAGGCACTGCTGTGCGCAATTGGCTGCTGGATTTTGCCCACAAACTATAGAGTCAATCTACTTTACAGTATATCTGTGAAGTGCTTTGAGACCTCTTGAAGATGTGATAAGACGCTATATCAAATGCAAGGATTATTATTATCTCAAAACATGAAACAATATTATGTTCAAATTTCAACAGCCAACATTTAATTGACGAGGCAGCGAAGCACACTGAGTTAAAAAGGAACGACAAAACAGAAGCTCCAGATCAAAGTTTGAACATCACATTCACCATTCTGAATAATCAGATTTTTCCTGACTTTTGCTCTAAACTTGCAGTTAACGAATTCCCATTTTTCTCTTCTAGTCTTCTTTTTCTAATGCTATCACTTGGACATAACTTAGGTGTACCAGTTACTATTTCGCACATTACAAACTTCAACGAGTGGAGTGTATTTAATACCTCAGGCTCTGCCAAAGGGAAGCTGTATGGAATGTGACCCACCTGCTCACAAAACGGCTGCATGGCGAGCCTTACTGGAAATGTGTAGCATCCCGTCTCCTTGTACCGCTCAGACTTCACAAAATCATAGTTAAAGCGCAGCAATGAAACTGTCAGGAAAGTAGGGAGATGCCGCAGCTTTGCCGACTGTTAAGACAGGGTTACAAATGTCAGTCACATCACATGTTCAGAGCTACTATTCTGGAGACTGAAGAAATAAATTTGCTCCTTGGAACACAACCATAGGAATGTACAACACCACAAAAAGCCACTACGGCCCATACAGTTGATCTAAGAGTAAAAAAGGCATCACTACATACTTTTCCCTCTGATACCCTCAATTAATTTCTTTTGCAATAAGCTGGTCAATCCAGAACAATGCCTGCAATATTTGCCACTAGGATTCTGGAGTTTGAAAGAAACATTTATCAACTTAACTAAATAGTTTTCCTATATTAATGTCTTATATAAACAATTTCCATTTCTTTAGCACCTTCACATGGGTAGCACCTTGGAATGCTTAGACAAGGATAAATAAGTACAGTATTATACTTTGGATAGAGGCACACAGACAGAGTTGACCATAATCCATTTATATGAGGAACTGGAGCTGGCCTGTGCCCAGGCCAACAATCCTGCAGATATATCAGCCATAATTAATTTCATGGGTGCTTGTGGAACACTGTTGTGTGCAAATGCCACACTTGTCTACAAATGGTCAGTACACTTCATAGCAATTACCTGTGAACGCTCTGAGGTGTTTTGATGTCATAAGCACAATATCAAATACAAGGATTTGTTATTGTTGTGAGCATGACCATTTCTTATAGCAAAACAGAAAATCAACACCTACTGCTATCACCCTGCCTATTACAGTAAACCTCTTAGTTCTGTCTGCCCAGGCTCTGGGGCAGACCTACCTTTGTTGCTTTAACCAGCTTCTCACATCTTCCACAACGATACAAATTATCATTGTCGAAATGTTCTTCTTCAACATACAAGTTACACAAAGCTTCCTCCAGTCCACTGACACCCTTCACCGTTACTGTCAAGTCCAGGAAATCCTCCTGTCGATTAAAACAATCACATATATATCATTAACAGAATCAACCAGAGGGGGGTAAGAGAGAGGACAAACATATGCAGCAGTGTAAGAAAAAGTGAAGAAAACAGCAAAATATTTAGCAGTTATAAAAATAACACAAATCCTAATTAGTCAAACGTTCAAGCCCCTTTGCATGTAATGCCCACCAGTATTGTAATGTATATTTCAGCACGTTCCCAGGAGAAACCCACATTTATATATACAGTTGAAAACACTGGCATTAGCGCTAGGCAAAATCCCAGAGAATTCTCGTGAGTATCTCAAATGTCAGTAATATGGCTGTACATTAAGCCCAGCAACATTTTCTTGGAGAATCCAGCAAGTTATTCTACAGTTATTTATGAAACGGAATTCATCCTGCCAGTAGGATCACATCACCATCCACACCTCACTCCTGTGGTACAATGCAGGCAGCTGTTTCCATAATATTCTCACCTGGGCATCACCGTCACACAGGTACTAATAGATTCAGAAATGTACAAATAGATATCACAATATTTAAGTAAGAAACCCATTTAATGCAATATAATCGATTGGCTGCTTCAAATATATTAAAGCTATCCTGTTCCATTGGAGTTTCTGAAACTATATTAGTGGAATTTTCTGTGATAAATGGAAAACTTATATTGACTTTGAACTCTTTACCACCAGCTTTTTTGGCTTGAGGCAAATTATTCAAAATGCAAGACTGAATATTTCCCACACCTAACAATCTGTGAAATCTAAATGCAACATCAGCCTCTCAATCACAAGGCAATCTGCCCATAGTGTAGCTCTACCAAATTTTACCAAAACCTCAATTCCATCACATATGGCCAGGTGTTTAAACATAAAATACTTTTTCTACAGTTCTACAATAAAACAGAATCAACTGTGTAACTGATGCAGTTATGCATCAGGGATCTCCAAGAGTGTACTAATAGATTCACTTATGAAATGCATAGTCACTACACTACACTTTGTGTTTGTGAAGCGCTTTGAGATGACTTCACGACTTGAAAGGTGCTATATCAAACTTAAGGCTTTTTTAAAAAAAGAAAGAGCAACACATGTGTATGGGTGAGGGCATCTGAGGAAAAGACTGATACCACTGCACCAGCACCAGGCAAATCCGAGAGTCATTTCCATGAATTCCCAGTGAGTGTTTGAAACACCTGTGCTCTGCCTCTGTACCGAGTCCAGCAACAATTCCTTGCAGAGCTCTGCCTCACAGCTGCATTTGGGCATGTTGCTTGCTGGTCGGCACTGATGTGAAAAGAAGGTAAGTGCAAATGTTGGCCTCTACCTGTCTTTCGCTGACATTGCCACACTCTTTACAGACGATCTTGTTGACGACAATGCCGTGGTACAGTCTGTTGATGAGATCATGACCAGAAGTTCCAACTAAAGAGCATTCCAGTGCGCTGAAGAGGATTCGGTTTAATTCCTGCACGTCGTGCTGGCTGGTCTGCTGTGGGAGAATAGAAAATAATCTTTACCCATTAAATTACTATCTTCTACAAGTACAGTCACTGCACTTAACTGTAATTACTGTTAAATGTTATTCGGCATTATAGACACTATATCAAATGCCGAGGATTATTATCACATATTTTATCAGCCCTTTACAAGCATTTACACACAGGGTAATTAACGATTCAAACAGGTTACTAGGAAGCCTGGACTCATTTAAGATTGATGCCGTAATGGGACATGGTGGGGTGGATATTCTGGAGTGATTAGATGGACAGGGACCCAAAGGGCCTTCTTTGTCCAAACCTTTCTTGCGATAACAGGGTCTTCAGGCAAAAAAAGACACCAGAATGCAAAGACACCGATTTTAGGCAGGAATCCTAGGCTCTGTATCCTTTAACATTACAAAGCAACAATGCCACCTCCTTGGACCAAAAAGATATAGGGAATATGAAAAAAGAGAAAAAAATTCAGTTAAAGGTCAGTAAATTGCTTCAGGCTTCCTGTAAACACATCTAGTTACGTTACGGACCAGGTATCTAAGGAATTACAGGTGCCCTTACTTAATCAATGAAAATGCAATGGTAAATAATAAACCCCAATGCTATCTTTACAGGAATTTTGCTTACAGTCAGATTATGTTAACAAAAGGGAAGAGTAATAGAAATAATCAAATGACAGAAAAAAAACATTTCAGTAGCACTTTAGGGCTTTGCCATTCCAATTTCGTCTTGAGAAGGTAATTTAAAAATTTAGAAAGTTTCTCTTTTTACATAGAAGAACAGCATCTCACATCTTACCTCATTACCTGTCCAGCCAAAACTATCAGTCAGGTCCGTCGTAGATGCTGCCAACTGGTCTGCCAGCAGCAACTGAGCAAAAAGTCTCTGTAGCTCCAAAGGGATGACTCGAACCTGATAACAAATTAAGTCAGTTTCCAAACTTCACTGCTGCTGTGGCCAAGTGTTGAGTGGCTGTAACATGGCAGGTATATTTAAACCACTGGTACCGAAAGTCTATCTGAAAAGTTATACTTCAGACAATAGTGTGCAACATGCTTCTTTGCATGATATAGCTCTTAATTCAACAAGTGAAATTACTCTCACCAATATATCGCCCTTGTGCTATACAACTCAGAATTTTGTCCAGACCCAAGTTTGAAAAGACAGAAGCTATAATTATACTCCCTACATATCTGGATCTTTGAATACTGTTTAAGTGCCTGGACTGAGTGTTCATTTTAAAAGCAAATAGTGGACTTAAAATCACCACTTAAAATCATTTTGGAAGCTCCCTGTCCTATCCCTGTCCCTCGAATCTCTAAACTGGAACTGGTTCCACTTGTGCGTAGATACATTACACTGGGATATTTTCTTACATGCTGTTGACAGGACAGGAACACACACAAATTCAAGGGGCACTGTCACTTTAAGATTGTCTGTTACACCAGTAAGTGAATGCATTAGTTTATCATTGGTTCCTGGAGCACTTCGTCAAGTTTCAGTTGAGCTAAGAACCTTAGCATCACATCACCACTAATCGCATACTTGTTTGGGTAAGAGCAGACGCTGTATTGAACGCTGATTTCAGATTTGGTGGCGATTTATTAACATATAGATGCCAGATTGATACTCCTCTTGGTTGGAAATCTGAAGCAGAAATAAAACCAAAAGGGGCATGGATTTGTGTGTAGATACTCCACATAGCTCACTCGTATCTGGCAATAAGAAGCTCAGAGACTGATACAGAGACTGAGCACATTCAGCTCTGATTCAGAGGCATCAATTCTACATTTCCGAGTTTTTAACTATAGACTTTGCTACTGAAAAACTAAAGATTGGTAATTCACTACTTCCAGCTGTGGACTGTGATTGTGCCCTGTACAGGATTATTGGGGACAGATTATATCAAATGCCTATATAAGACTGTATGTTGAAATACAGTGCCAGACAGCTTGCTGGAATGCACTTTACTGGCTGATAAATCCCACTCCCGCTAACCCAAGTCCATCGCACCAATGTCAATTTCAAGCCGTTTATTTACCGGAAACCTAAGAAATAATATTTGCATTTACTACTACTAATAACCTTTGCATTAGATATAGTGCCATATCATGTCCTGTAGCTCAATGGTTAGAGCACTCGCTTTGCAAGCGAGAGACCTGAGTTCAATCCCAGGCAGGTCAGGGCCAAACCTTGGGCAAGTTTCCTTACTCCACACAGAGCCTAATAATAATCCCTCCAAAACCAAAAACAATAATAAATTGGTCATTTTCAATCTACGACTGTTTGTGGGACATTGCTGTGCGCAATTGGCTGCTGCGTTCGCCCACAAGTATACAGTCAATTCACTTTACAGTGTGTTCTGAAGCGCTTTGGGACGTCCTCCCGACGTGAAAAGCGCTATATCAAATGCAAGGATTATTATTATTATATCATTGAGACGTATCAAAGCGTTTCACAACAACAAATAACATTTGTATAGCATCTTTCACATCAGGAGGAAGTCCCAAAGCGCTGGACAGTCAGGGATCCGCACCCGAGCTGGTGGTTGGGATCAGGCGGTGGGGAGGGTAGAAGGGTGACTGAAGGCACGGTCGAAGAGGAGGGTCTTGAGATGGGTCTTGAAGAAGGGAAGGGAGGGGGCGAGGCAGAGGGACTGTGGGATGGAGTTCCAGATGGTGGAGGCAGAGGCTGAAGGTCTGCCCACCAATGGGATGTGAAGCAGGCTGAAGCCCATTGAGCAAAGTGAGCGGAAAGGTTGGTAGGAGGTTACGGAGGTAGGGAGGACCAAGGCCGTGAATACATATTATTGTTACATAACATTCACAGAATATAATGTAAATAATAATAATCTTTGCTTTTGATATTATGAAGTGGATTGACTGTATTTTGTCAGCAAAATGTGTCAAATTAATGCAGCGCTTTATGTCAAAATGTTTCAAAACACCTCACAGAATGAGTTTTTGTGTACTGGTTGCTATTACATAGATACCACTACAGGTAATCTGAGACAGCAACATCCCACAAACCATGGAACTATTTTTTGTGACTCTGAGAGAGGGAGGAATATTGGCCATGACACCACGCACAACCCCGTTCTTCAAGATGCTACTAACTGAGCCAAACTTACACATTTATTTGAATTTCAGGTGTTGAAACACAACATGAGGTAACAGTGAATAAATACAAATATCATTACCTTGGACTCTGGCTTGTCTTTGTCTGATAAACACCCCAGCTCCTCAGGTCCAAGAGCAAACAATGATTCTAATTAAAAGAAAGATAAGCAGGATATTAGTCAACACAATAAATTGAGACTCAGTTTGTCCCTTGTCCATTCATATTTTAAACTTTTGTTTTCTCCCCACTTCAATGAGTCATTTCGTGCTCAACATCAAACCACAAACAGGAAGACAAGGAAATACTGTAGCTCCCCCTAGTCCTCTGTTCCATAAGTTTGATCCCATCCCCCCACTAACCTTTCACATGAAACCCACCACCTATTCCATTAAACCCCATTCCCACAATTCTCCTGTCCACCCAGCTGCTGCTTTTCAGCTCTGTTAATTGAAGTTAACTTCTTCCACTTCCCAGGCATGGTATCCCCCACCTCAACATTACACCCCACCCCCTCAAAGAAAACTCACTGCATCCCTCCAAACTCTCGCTATCACCTATTCTCTAATGTCCTTTCTCTCCAACATGCTGGAAAGCATTGTTGCGTCCCAGCTTTGTCTTTCCACTCCTACCACCCACCCTCATCACTCCCTTACAAGTGTCTTCAATCTAGATTCCTCCTCACCCACAGCACCAAGACAACTCTAGTCAAAGTCACTCATGATATTGTCTGTCAAGACGGCAGGCTCCCTTTGTTCTCACCAATCCGCTCCAACCTTTTCCAATGTCTCCTGGAACAACACCCAACTCTACCTTTCAGCCTCTATCCTAGACTCCAGGTCCATTGATGTTTTCACAGACTGCATATCCGACATCAAGTCCAGATGAATCTCATCTTTCTCAATTCAACATTGAAAGCTTTCTTTTTCAGTCTCAACTCAGGAGCCGACTGCTTTGACCTCCTCGTTGGTAACTCAAGCTCGTGGAGCATGTGCAAAACCTCAACATTTTGTTCGATCCTCAACTCTCCTTCAAACCTTTCACGCTGGCTCTAATTTCCACTATCACTGCAACATTGTTTGCCTCTTCCACTAACTCGTTTCCGACTCGGTCAAAACATTCAGTGCCTTTTCTAACATCCTGCTCGCTGATCTTCATAGCTCTCCACAAACTCCAGATCATTCTACAAACAACATTCTCTCTCAGCCAATGCTCAAAGACCATCATCTATATCCTCATCTGGCTCCACTGGTTTCCCATTCCCCCAAAGCATCAACTATACAATCTTACCTTCATAAGCCTCTATGTCTTGCCCCACCTCTGCGATCTCCCGCAATAGCTACTACCTCAGCCACTCCCTGGCTCTGCCCACACTGGCCTGCTTCATACCTCCACCTGATGTCCCACAATCGATGGGTAAGCTTTCAACTACTTTGCCCAGTTACTCTCTTCTGAAATCCCCCTCGTCCACCTGCCTCTCTGCTTTCACAACCCATCTAAAACTTCTCTTTTTGCATGCACCCTGGACCATCTCCCATCCCATCTCAAGCCTCCCAGCTCGGATTTGCCCTCCATCTCTGTAAAATGAGACATTCTCCCTGCAGGAAAGACAATATATATGTGCAAATTACTGTTATGCAGTTCTGTCTGCAAGGCGAGAACAAAGCCCAGAGCGATCTGCAATCCCAATTTTTCTCCCAGTCTAATGTACCTGACATGAACAAGTTGGAAAAAGCAGGGAAATATCACCATTTGTAAATGTAAAAAACAAACAAGTTTATACCGTTTAGTGATCTTTTGTGTTCATCAACACAAGAATGTCAGTGCTGGGAATGCAACTTGTCTTTTTCCCCCTGTGTGGGCAACTAGCATCGAAGAAGTGCACCGTAACCTAGAGTTAATATCTCCTTATTCATTGAAACAATGCTTCCTAACCCAGACTTCTGAATAACACCTTCCTACTTCACTATTCTGATTTTTTTAGATGTTTCCCACCCACACATCATTATGGCCTCTTTGAATGAGAACATCAATTCAGTGTCAATTCTGAATTATAGGCAGTGGTTATTGTGACCAGCTGGAGAATTTCATGAACGGCTATTACAGCTAGCTGTAAGGAACCTTGATAATACCTGTATGGGCTGGACTCAGACCTCACATTATGCTAAAGCACTGCATCATCCAGGTCTTCTTAAAGTGTTAATCAAAGTAATATTTCACTGGTGAGATCTTACCAGGCTCTACTAGGTCCCAATCACCAAACGGATCAACTTCAAGATCTTCTCACAGTGTTTTCAAATCACTTCATTCCCTCGCACCTCCCTACCTATCCAACTTGCTTACCCCCCACTCCACCATCCGCTGGGCTAGCTCCGGTCTCCGAATTGTCCCTTGTGCCCTCCACTCCACCATCGGTGGGCATGCCTTCAGCCACTACACTGAAACTCTGGAAATCTATCCCTCGATCCCTGCACCTTTCCTTTTTGGTTGTGCTTGTGGTCACCTCCCCTCACCCTCTCCTCTGGCTCGTTGTCATCAGACTCAGCCACTGTGAAGCGCTCCGGGACTCTGCACCACGTGAAGGGCGCTATATAAATTCAAGTTCTTGTTGAGACAGATGACTTCCTACTCTATATCTTGGCTTTATCTTCAACAAACTTACCTCTGAATTCAGGGGTGTACAGTAATGTCTGAAGCAGTGAGTTGAGGTAGCAAGTTCCTCCCTGGTTTTTGATTCCACTGAGGTTACAGGCTGCTCGGGGTGCAGGCAGTTCATGATCCTTTTTCCTTGATTTCCGGCCATTTATCCCTTTGCTCTCAGACACAAAATCAAAGTCCTCTCCTTCTTCAAACAGGTTCCCAAACATCCTGGAGAATTCGCAGTACACAGCCTCTCATGCGGTTACTTTAGTCCAACAAACCAACTTTGTTGTTTTGCAATATACTATGATCTCATTCTCAGAAACATTAACCATTCTGATTTTAAAGAGATCTGAAGCTTCGGTAATGCTCTTCCTCTGAAAGGAAAGAAACCAAGCATGTAAACATTCAAAATCATCATTGATGCATAAAGTTACAACACGGGCGCTGGGGGGGGGGGGGGGCTCGGCCGCTGGGGGGGGGGGCTCGGCCGCCGCTGGGGGGGGGGCTCGGCCGCGGGGGGGGGCTCAGAGAGTCGGGAAGGAGAGTGATCGAAAGCACAGTCGAAGAGCAGGGTCTTGAGATGGGTCTTGAAGGAGGCAAGAGAGGCGTGAGGCAAGGGACTGCAGTGTGGAGTTCCAGAGGGTGGCTGCAGAGTGACTGAAGACCCGCCGACCAATGGTGGGGCGGGCGAGGCTGGGACATGAAGCAGGCCAGAGCCCGCCAAACGGAGCGAGCGGGCAGGTTGGTAGGGTGTTTGGAGGTCACAGAGGTAGGGGGGAGCAAGGCCATGAAGGGCTTTGAAGATGAGGATCAGGATCTTGAACTGTATCCTCTGTGTGATTGGAAGCTAGTTAAGTCGGGTGAGGATAAGGGTGATAAAGTAACGGAGCCTGGTGCGGGAGGGGTCACAAGCTGCAGAGTTCTGGATGATCTGCAGTTTATGGAGGGAGGAATTGGGGAGACCGACAAGGAAGGAGTTTGGATAGTCAAGCCTGGATGTTATGAATGTGTGTATAAGGGCTTCAGCGGCCTGCGGTGTGAGACAGCGGCGGAGCCGGGAGATGTTGCGGAAGTGGGAAAGGCAGAGCAGGTCATGGCACGGATGAAAGAGCAGTTGAGGGTCAACCAAGACGCCAAGGTTCAGAATTGGCTTAGTAAAATGCAGTGTGTATCCATGGCGATACTGTCAGCGCCTATGGTATGGAGGTGCTGACGGGAGCCAATCAGGAGGGCCTCGGTCTTGTTGATGTTCAACTGAAAAAAGTTAGCTCGAGGCTGGGTTTTTAACCCTTGACTGTACAACATCCTGAGAAATGAAACTATTCTGTTACAATGGCACAAATCTGACAATTTATTACATTAATAATAACAATCCTTGCAATTGATATAGCACCTTATCACGTCATAGAGGTGTCTCAAACAGCTGCACAGAATATATTGTAAAGTGGATTGACTGTATTTTGTGGGCAAAACGGGGCAGCCAATTTCACACAGAGGTATCCCAAAAACAGTCATAGATTGAGTGACCTTTTTTTGGAGGGATCATTACCCCTGGAAAGCCATCTGCCAATTGAGTAACAACTGGGTTCAGACTTACTGCTAAACAGAGGTGAGTAAAGAAACTCGCCAGGGAATCAAACCCGGATCCTCTCAGTTGCGAGTGCGCTAACCACTATGTTGCAGGACTCCACTAATTATTCTTGGAGACTACAATGTCATCTTCCCACCAAAGCTTCCCTCAACATTTTAAATATTTTTAAATTAGCACAATATTATAGCTAAATATTATAAGATTTTAATTTAATTGGTTTTAGCTTGCAAATTTCATCTCTGCCACGAACAGTTTCGCCTTCCAAAGTAAGATTGGTGACACAATGCATTATTAGTCATGACTTAACTGCTATAAAGAGTTGATAGTTAGCATTTATCCAGCCTGCTTCACGTCTCCTGTCTTGCCCGCCCCATCATTGGTGGCTGGGCCTTCAGTCTCTTTGCCCCCACCCTCTGGAATTCCAACGACTGAATATTTCACCCACAAAATATACAGTCAATTCACTTTATAGTATATTCTGTGAAGCGCTTTGAGACATCTTGAAAATGTGATAAAGCTCTTTATCAAATGCAAGGGTTATTATCATCCCACACTCCTTCTGTCTCCTTAGCCTCCTTCAAGACCTTTGTCTTCGACTGTGACTTCAATCACCCTTATAGCCCTCCCCGCCCTCCACATCTTCCAAGCCCAACCACCAGCTCTGGTGCTGATCCCTGAATGTCCAGCGCCTGAGGACATCCTCCTGACTTGAAAGGTGCTATACAAATGTAATGTGTTGTTATCCACTCTTAAGAGTTGATTATTCAAAAGCTATGCGTCTTCTTTAACAAGGTAAAGCTTTTGCCCCGCCTGGGAATCGAACCCGGGTGCTCTCACTTATATAATTTATATTTACAGATGGAACTTGCAGGGAGAGAGGTGTACAACACAATCAATTTCTTCACATTTTCAGTAAGCATGTTATAATCTTCAATGATAGAGATAATGTCTCTTGTACCAAGATACCTGTTTTGACAAATAGTAGAATCATAGAATATTACAGGAAAAACTCCAGACCCATCAGTGTGGAGACCAAAAACTATAGCTTTTATATGCACTGTTACTCAGTCTCAAGTGACAACAGTGAGTGTTGAGAGGAGTGCTACATAGTCAGAGGAGTTGACCTTTGAACAGGACTGAGCTTGTTAAAGATCTCATTGTACTAATTAAAAAGAGAAGTGAGTTGTTCTCTTGGCATCCTGGCCAACAATCCCCCCAAAATTGGCCATTCCCTTCAAGACTGTTTGTGGGACATTGTTACGAACAAATTGAATGCTGCATTTACCAAAAATAGTCACCATATTTTACAGTAAAATACTACAAAACATTCCTACAATACTGGGGTATTAATCAAATGCAAGGATTATTATTACTAAGATTTGACAAACATTGGAATCATATAACACCGTAATATATAAACACTGGGACACTGCTGTTCTTAATTGGCTGCCGCGTTTCACCCACAAAATACAGTCAATCCACTTTGCAATATATTCTGTGAAGCGCTTTGAGACATCTCAACTGCGTGATAAGACTCTATGTCAAACGCAAGGATTATTGTTGTTGCCACATCACGGTGAGCAGACTTCGATCTTTTTTCGGCTGCACTCTCGCCCGCTGCCCCCACCCGAACCCATGTTCCCAATCAGTTGTGTGAAGTGCTGTTGAGAAAGCTTCCTGGGGTGAAAGGTGTTGTGTGTACATGTAAATTTTTGTGGCTGACGCGCACATAAGATGTATATTTAAGTGAAGCTGCAAAGGGGGCACGAGGCACCGAAACAGTGGAGGGAGGGACTGTCACAACAAATCACGCCTCATAGTCCACGTGATCTTCAAGGCGCCGTCTCTCTGCTTCTTACACAGTGCGGATAAAGAAAACTCTTACCATTCCTACCAATCATAAAGGGAGGTCAGGGCAGCATTTCACTGAGGAGCTCCAGTCAAAGAGCCTCCTGTCTGTCTCTGCTCTACAGTGAGCCACATCCACAGACAGAGAAGCTTCCAGAAAAAGCCACCGACCGGACAGACTGCGCTCTCGCCCCCGGGATAAAGTCCTTTGCTGATAAGTTTTTTTTTTAGAGAGAGGAAGGGAGGCGAGGCTTGAAGTTGGACTCACTCACTCTCGCTCGCTCTCTCTCTCTCTCTAAACCAGGAGAACCTCCCCGCACAAACAGCTCGGTATCACCTCACAGCCACCATTCCTGTCGGCGCGCTTTAACTCCTGCGCAATGGTACCTACCGCCGCGCTGCACCTCGGGAGTTGTTGTCCGCCCCTCTCTCCCCTCTCATTCGGCAAACCGAGTGGCACGGGGTCACGGGAACTACCATTCCCGGCAGGCACCGCGCGAGGCACCTACGCTCCGTGCAGTATGTGGGTTTAAACCGGCCCGAGTGAGCCTGCGCACTGCCCCCTGTGATATGGGATGTATTTGACCCTCTCTCTGTGATCGCATTGAACCGAGGGCTGGGTCAGCAGAACTACATTTCCCGACAGGCATGTTGGCTGAGTGTCTGGATTGACACTCAGATTTCTCCCAGATTGGAAAACTATTGTGCACCAAAATAGCAAAAAGGCAGCAAGGTCCTTGGTGTGTATGGTTAAGAGACATCTCTTTTTTTTTCCCCCAATGAAAAGAGGCGCGAGACAAACCTTTTGCTTTTTTCTGTTACGTGCTTGTTTCATATTTGAGACGGTGGGATGCATGGAATGTTCAGCCGGGTTTCGATACTCTTAAGCCTTGTGATGGGTTTCACCAAAAAAAATCAAAGTGCTTCGCAGGATATACTCTGAAATTGTGCGACTCTGTGGCAGTGTGTATTTTGTGAGCAAATGCAGCAGCCAACTTGAACACAGCAGTGTTCCGCAGACAGTCATGAAGTGAGTGATCAATTTAAATTCAGTAACACAGGTCTGATGCCTTGCCCATAAAGTCCATGAATGTGCTTGACCATGTATTGCCCTGTTTGTTAGATATACAGGGTGAGGCTTAGTGTCTTGCTGGATAGTTTATAACACAGTTGTTGTGGCGACCTGCAATTACCAGCAATGCGGTACACTTCCAGTGCAGACTGGCTGCATGTGTGCCAGTGAGTCCATGCTGAAATGGATGTGACGTCAGTTCTGACCTGAATGAAAACCGGGAAGCAGAATTGGAGGCCATTTTTTTCACAGACCCGTCATAAGGCAGGGTGTTAATCATTCAGAACAAAGCATTTATAACAAAAATTTACATTTGCTTAACACTTTTCAAGTCTGGATGATGACTCAACAACAACAAATTGCATTTATATTGTATTGTGTTTCACGTTGAGTGGACATCCCAAGTTGCTGAACACTCAGGGATTTGCAGTCAAGCTGGGAGTTGGATTCAAAAGGGATGGAGCACAAGAGGGGTGGAGGTGGGGGTTGAAGGACAAGAGGGGTAGGGATGGGAGGATGACTGAAAGCAAGGTCAAAGAGGAAGGTCTTGTGACAGATATTGAAAAAGGCAAGGGAAGAGGCAAGGCGGAGCGGTTCTGGGATGAAATTCCAGAGGGTGGGAGACAGTGAGCCAGTGAAGCCAGGCAAGGATGGGGTGATCAGTTCACAGAGCTTGGTGCGGGAGAGGACAGGAGCTGCAGAGTTCTGAATAATCTGCAATTTGTGGAGAGAATAGTTGGGATGTCCGGCGAGCAGAGAGCTAGCATAGTCAAGCCTGAGCGTGATGAATGCATCGATGAGGGTTTCGACAGACTGAGGGAATAGGCACGGTTATTGTTGCAGAGGTAGGGAAGGGCAGAATGGGTCATGTCATGAATGTGGGGTATAAAGCATAGGTTTAAAAAGACATCAAAATTCTCAAGGCGACTGACTGGGAGTCTGAGCTGGGGGGAGGGTGAAAGTGCAGTTGAAAAGATAGCTTTTAAAGCAGGTTTTGAAAGCAGAGAGGGAGGAGGGCAAGGCTAGAGGGCCAAGATGAAGTTCCAGAGAATGAGTCAAAATGGCTGAAAGCTGCTGGAAAGTAATCATCACTACAACAACAACAACATTCCATTTATGGAGCGCCTTTCACGTCGGGAGGACGTCCCAAGGCGCTGTACAGTTGGGTCAAGACCCGAGCAGGGGGGAAATGATCAGGGTGAGGGCAGGGAAGGAGGGAGGAGGGGGTAGAGAGTCGAGAGGGGAGCTGAAGGCACGGTCAAAGAGAAAGGTCTTGAGACCGGCCTTGAAGGAGGAAAGGGAGGAGGCGGTGAAGGCACTGGGGGATAGAGTTCCAGAGCCTGGGGGCTGAGAGGCTGAAGGCCCGGCCACCGATGGTAGGGCGGTTGGGGCGGGGGATGTGCAGCAGACCAGAGCCAGAGGAACGGAGGGTACGGGCAGGTAGGTAGGGGGATAGTAGGTCGGAGAGGTAGGAGGGAGCGAGGCCGTGAATGGCCTTGTAGGTGAGGGTGAGGATCTTGAATTCGATCCTCTGGGGGATGGGGAGCCAGTGGAGGCGAGCGAGGGTGGGAGTGATGTGGTCCCGAAGCCTGGTGCGGGACAGTACACGAGCTGCAGAGTTCTGAATGACCTGCAGCTTGTGGAGGGAGGTGCCGGGAAGGCCGGCGAGGAGAGAGTTCCCATAGTCCAGCCTTGAGGTGATAAAGGCGTGGACCAGAGTTTCAGCAGCGTGAGGGGTGAGGTAGTGCCGTAGTCTGGCGATGTTTCGGAGGTGATGGAAGGCGGTGCCAGTTGTGGCGCGAATATGAGGGAGAAAGGACAGCTCAGGGTCGGACAGGACACCGAGGTTCCTGACTGACTTTGAGAGGTGGAGAGTGCAGCCTTGGATGCTGATGCTGTCAGCGCCTGAGGTGCGGAGGCGCTGACGTGAGCCAATCAGGAGGGCCTCAGTTTTCGCACGTTGAGCTGAAGAAAGTTGTCTCTCGTCCAGGACTCGATGTCGGACAGGCAGCTGTCAGGACATCGGTGGTCGTGGAGTTGAGGGTAGAGGAGGAAAGGTAGAGTTGGGTGTCATCCGCATACATGTGGAAGTTAACCCCATGTCTGCGGATGATGTCACCAAGGGGGAGCATATAGAGGGTGAAGAGGAGGGGACCGAGGACAGAGCCCTGAGGGACACCGCACGAGACAGTGCGGGGGCTGGAGGAAAAACCGTTCGTGGAAACAAAATGAAGACGGTGGTAGAGGTACGACCTAAACCACTCAAGGACAGGGCCTTGAAGGTTGAGGTGGGAGGACAAGCGGTGGAGGAGGATAGCGTGGTCGACCGTATCGAATGCTGCCGATAGGTCGAGGAGGACGAGGAGGCAGAGGGAGCCCTGGTCACAGATGGTCAGGATGTCATTGGTGACCTTGACCAGGGCAGTTTCTGTGCTATGGGCAGCACGGAAACCCGACTGAAGGGGTTCGAATAATGAATGGTGGAGAGGAAAGAGCGCAGCTGGGAGGCGACAACTCTTTCAAGGACCTTGGACAGGAAGGGGAGGTTGGAGATGGGCCGGTAGCTTGATAGCTGCGATGCATCAAGGGAGGGTTTTTTCAAGGTGGGAGTAATGGTGGCAGTTTTTAAGGGAATGGGAACAGAGCCAGAGGAGAGGGACAGGTTGACGATATCTGTGATATGTGGGGCAAGGAGGTGGAGCTGGGAGATAAGGAGTGGGGATGGGGTCAAGGGAGCAGGTGGTAGGTTTCAGGGATAGGATGAGTTTGGTGACAGAGGGTGGGGAAACGGGTACGAAAGTGTGTAGGGGAGGATGGGTAGGAGTCGGAGTGTGGGAGGGAGGGGGTGGGGGGTGGGTGGATGTTGGAGGGGAAGTGACCGTGGAGCGAATTCCCTGGATTATCCTGGAGTAGAAGGACGACTTGGCTGAGGCTAGAGTGGAGCGGTAGATTTTGAGGAGGTCCAGCCAGATTTGTCGGTGGACCGTTAGGCCAGATTTGAGGCAGGTGCGTTCAGCGGCCCGCACCTGGCTCTTCAGGTGGGGGGTGAACCAGGGGGAGGAGCAAGAGTAGGAGACAGTACGGGAGGTGATGGGGGCAAGAGTGTCGAGTGCGGAGGAGAGGGTGTTGTGGAGGAGGGTGAGAGGAGAAGAGAGGTCAGTGAGGGTTGAAGGCCAGAGGGAGAGGAGTTCAGAGGACTCCAAGGCAGCGGTTAGGGATTGTGAGGGTAACTTCTTCCAGGGGCGGTAGAAGATGGTGGTGGGTCTGGTGGAGGTGGGGAGGGGGGTGGAGGTGGTGAAGGAGATGAAGTAGTGGTCGGAGACGGCCTTGTCGGTGATAGTGACATCCGAGACACTGAGGCCCTGGGTGATCACCAAGTCGAGTGGGTGGCCGTGACTGTGAGTGGGGGAGTTGATGTGGAGGGAGAGGTTGAGCGAGGAGAACAGGGAAGAGAAGTCTGAGGAGATGGAGCAGGAGGGGGTGAAGTACCGGTTGAAGTCGTCCAGGATGATGAGGCAATCAGAGCAGAGGCAGAGAGATGTAAGAAGTGTCGAAATATTGGAGATGAAGGTGGGAGAGGTTTTAGGGGGCCGGTAGAGGAGGAGGATTTTGAGTGAGAGGAAGGAGGGGTGGGAGAGGGTGAGGTACTCGAAAGAGGGGAAAGAGCCAGAGGAGTAGGGGGATAGGGCAAGTGGTGTCCTTGAGATAAGGGCTACACCACCGCCACGGCGATTGATATTCCCCCTCATTAATCTGGATTGCCAAGCCCACCATTGTAGTGCATGATATCAACTAACTCAACATTCCCCTAGGATTTATTTTAGGACCTTCCTAATTTGTGGGACTCAATACCATATCCCAATCAGTTTGGGAAGCAGCATATTTTTGCTAAAAGCCAAACCAAAGAACTGTCATTTCCAACTAGTCACCACTGGGTACCTACATACTCTTTACAAATCCATTTGCAAATCTCACAAATTAATAAGAATCCTTATGTTTTATGTAACACTTAAAACGTCATAAAATGCTTCACAGGTAATTTCTGTCAACTATATTATATTTGTGAGCAAACATAGCAGTTAATTTGCACAAAGCAAAGTCAAACAGACAGCTGTACAGTGAATAACCAATTTCTCAGGTTACCAGGAGAAACTCCCTCATCTTTTTCAAAGAGATCTTTAACATCCACCTGAATGAGCAGACAGGACCTTGGTTTAAAGTCTCAAAGGACGGCACCTCTGACAAAGTAGGATTCTCCCACCCCAAGAAGTGTCTGCTTGCACTAGTTCAAAGTTGCGA